TTATCATAGAATTTTGATCTATCTTAGATCAAAACCTATCTTAGAATTTTGATATCGATGACCTAAGATCACGTCAATTTTGCGACCTCCCCATTATAAGTCAATGGGAGAAAACTGAAATGCGCCGCTTTTGGACGAAAGCCATTATAAACGCTCCCAAACACTGAATTACAAGTAACTTAGACACACTGAACATGAAAATGGTGTCCGTAACCCCCGTTTATGCCTCTGAGGTCATCTCAGGTCACGAATGGTATCTAACAGTTTTTTCGCAAATAACGTTTGATAGAGGCAAGCTAGAGCGATGAAAACGCCTTATATGTGTTCAGCTCGACGATACGGATCGACTGATAAGTAATATGCAACATGGCCATTTTCGTTCAGGTCATGACTTTGACCTGAGGTAAAATTTTCAAGTTGACCTTTGAAGGTTAAGTTATAGTTAATTCGATGCGTCTTGGCGAGAGGAATACGATGTCGGTAAAAGTAACCTCATGCCTTGGGTCAAAAGTTATTGCTTAAAAACTGTTTCCGAAAAATTGGTTATTTTTGCAGTTTTTGCCCACTACACGCAAAACCGTTGATGTTAGGGCAAATCTGAGAGGATTATTCAGAAAGGGCATTAACAAGGCTATCGAATGCGCTTTTCCGCGGCGCTGTAACTCTATTGGTTCCCGAGTTATGCGTTGGCTTCTTGGAAATTGTCGACATTCGACCTGAAAATCGGCGAAATTTTGCCTCTGATGACCTGACCTTTGACCTGATCAAAAAATTGACCGAAGTGATTTCGTCCTTATTTTTGGCGCTGTTTCGAACGCTGCCTTCCGCGTATCGCTACATGGCCCAGGAGCCGAGTTATAGGGGGGGGGGGTTCAAACGCCCCCTAGCAGGGCATGGAAATCCAGGACCCCAGTCCAATAAGTAGATACTTTTAGGTCGCAAGACATATCCGAATAACAATGAAAAGCCTAGGTAGTAACATTCATAATTCATATACTCACAACATTCATAAATAAGCAATGCATGACCCAAGACCATTTGCAATCGGTTGTTGCAATCTAGCCCCGCGCCTTCGGCGCCCAGCCTCCGTCTGAAAAGAGCATAGGTACCTATTGCAAAACAAAAATCAATAAGGATTAAGGGTGACCTTTTGAAGTCAAAGCCTGAGTCAGCTTATCCTGAGCGCAAAAAAAAAAACTGCATTAGGGTCTAAATATAGCCGGAATTTGAACAATGACTAGCCAGGTTACAAGTTACACTTATCTACGATATGCTGAGAGTTAATACACATGCTGCCACAGAGCTGCGGGGATAATCGACGTGAATGATGCGGCCTGTAAAAGTAGCTACCTTGTATACTGTGGGAACTGGGAAGCATGTTACATAACCGCAACATGATTGGCTTTGAGGCTTCAATGTCATGAGAAACCGCGCGTGTGACAGTGCCTAACATACCTACCATCTACCTCTAACCTTCTATTACACCTATTAAAGGCACGATGTTGGTTAGAACAGAGGTTATTCTTATCAATGCTTATTGCTAGTAAATCGTAACTCGTAAGTACCTACAGACATAGCTGAAAGCATAAGCGAACAAGGAACGTAAATTTGCCACAAAAGCTTTCTCCGTTCATCAGCATTCTCGAATAATTCGGAAGCAGCCAATTGGCAATTGCCAAAACACCAACTAGGTATTGGATATCGGGGTTGCCACGTTTTTATTGAAAGCTCAGCGTGCAGCGGCTACTTTCGCCCTCAATCGGTCGTCATTTGGTAATGCTCTCCGGGACGATCACAGGCTCTGGGTAACGCCCAGTTTAGCGCGGCCATACCGTGGGATCGTGAGCTTTATCAGCGCCGGACAGCGGTACTTTGACGGCCAGTCTGCACCGCGACAGGCTGACACGGGGCCGGCAGGGGCGGGATGGGGTGGGTGGTGGAACGTTCATCGTCCCTCCCCGCCAGGCTGACCAGGGATCTAACCAAGACATTATTCCAGTGGCGACAAAATGCGGAGAACCGACAACTAGCACCCAACAAACCCTGTCTTATCGCCAAAAAATTGCGACCGTGAGACCCATTCAAGTTCAATCTTCGGATGAGTACGGTTTTGAATAAAAAAGACAGGCTCAGAGAATTACTGCTAGATTTTGACGTCCGACGAAGAAATGCGAATCGTCATTCCTCAGACAACGGTGGCTGTGAGCCAACATCATCGGACACGACTTTAGGCTTCAGCGGCATCAGTTAACTACCCTGTACCAGGCTAAGGGAGCCAGGAAGGAGGGGTGGTTACCTACTGGTTACGGTGGGGTCCCTCGCTCGTCGTTACTACCACGCTGCAGTCCGCCGGCGATCATCGACGCCCGGACCCGATCGCGTATTCATGGAGTCGATAGTAAAGCCGTGTAGTAAAAATGTACGACCGCGCAGAACTCTTGTGGCGAGCACCGTGACGAAAGGAGAACGAACTGGAACCGCAGGAGGGGGGGGGGGGGGGACAGCCGTGGAGGGGGGAAGGAAATGGACACTCGCCGTCATCCCCTCACGCGTATGAGTCCCACCCCAGGCGTAAGTACTAGTACATACGTACGTACACCAGCGCTGGTTCGAGACGGGAGTCGGTTACCCAGACACCCTCCCCCTCGCGAACCCTGCTGTATCGCATCGAATGTGAGGCGGTAAAAGAAGCCGTGCCTTTCGCATCCGTCCCCAGCTAACCCGAACGGACAAAGAAAGACGGAATAGCCATCGAACGACTAAAGCGAAATCCGTTTAGCCATTTCTATTGCTAATCATCTCCAATTAGCCATGTGTATGCCTTGTCTCTGAAAGCAGCCTGAAAGCCTGCGAATCCTTAGATCTTAAACGTAGCTGTTTCACAAGGAATCTGTGAACCACGATCGTCAGGCACCACCCATCCCTCAACAAAGAATGTAACTATTCACTGTTGTATTACACTTCAAACACATGCTACAAAACAAACAATCGTCCCTCGTGAAGTCGACATGGCGCTAGGCACCTGCAAGTGGGGCAACGAAAAAAAAAATCGACTAGTGGTGTGACCTGCACGCCCCACGCTCAAGCCTCCGAAAAAAAACACTGGTTCACGAATCATGCACCTCCAAACACTCACGGCGAACTTCCGCAAATCGGCAGCTTGCACATAGGTTATCTCAAAGAAATAATGACTACGCTGTATCTATTTACAGTTCTGGCACCGCTATCTTATGTCACTGAACAGACACACGTGAGCGGCTTCCATATAACACGCGTACAGAGCGAAAACTCACTGGTCTAACCAGTGACATGTTATCCCAGACACATGAACAAGTAAATGCGCGTTTGCCTTGCTCATATATCTGAGGTAAGAGATACGAATGGAGCTTCTACAACGCACATTGCACAGTGCACATGTGCGTTACAGTTATTGCTCGAGGTAAATAGAAATCACGAGTTTAACGTACAGTTCACACAATGTGGTGGCAAGGCAGCCAGGTGCATGTAAAATGACAATGGATTCCAAACACAAGGACTTAGCATTATACAAATATAAAGTCGCACAAGCCATGTTGGCTCATATAGTGCAGGACAGGTGCGCTTAGGGGACTCAAACATTTTACTATTTTAGCGCGGGCACTGTGCTTATTGCGAAACGACGCTTTTGCATATTTAATTTGTGTTTCCTTTGAATCAGCTCACAACTGAGTTAGTCACACGTAAAGACATATTTCCGAAAAAAAAAACACGTTCACAAAATTCCATTACACGTAGGGGAGAGTGGGGAAAGATGCCCAGGGTTTTACTATGTCATATATTATTCGAAAATGACGATCGGAAAGCAAAAACTTGTAGTTTCAACGGAAGCCGACATCATTTTTCTCCAAAAATATCACACTTTCGTGCTTGAAATATGATAACTTTTTTTGCTATTAAGCATTTTCCTGAAGAAGTGAAAGGGGGCATCTTACCCCACAGGGTGGGAAAGACGCCCCCTGGTGTTGGGTAAGATGCCCCCTGCACTATAAGTGACATAAATGGGCACGTGAATCGCCTGAACGAATCAGTAGTCCCTTCGGGCCTGCAGTAGACACCAAACGTCATCGTAAGGGCCCTCAAAAGTAGTCGTAGGGGGCTTCAGAGGTCATCGTTAGGGCCATCATAGTCCAGCGCGGCCAAACAAGCCTCCGTGGTGGCGTTCGGAGACCACTGTGGGGCCCTTATAGGTCTTCATGATGCTTGAGGGCCCTCGAGCCCATCGTGGGGACCTCAGATGCCAGCGCGGCCCGTGGAGCCAACGTGGGAGCCCTCAAAGGATGTCGTGAGGGGCCCTGGAGCCAATAATGTGGCCCACAGAGGCCTTCGTAAGGGCTCTCAGAGTCAGATGCCGCCCAAAAGTCGCTGTGTGGGCCGAGAGACCGGCATGGGGAGCACCCGACCGTACTGGACTCTCAATAGTCCCAGATCGGCTTTTGTCTCTCATTACAGGTATGTAATAAATAATTTGACGGGCTGCTTGAAGGACAGCCTACGGATTTAGGGGGGCGTCTTTCCCCATCAGGACAGGGGGCATCTTACCCCAAGGTACCGAGGTAACATTAAATCAGTACAATTTGTTAGCCATAAAACTACACCCTGAAACGAACTGTTTGGGACACAGTACACGCATGTTAATTTATCACGACTATAGCAAGGAACGCAAAAATTATCTACCTTCTTTGATATTTACAATGTTTTGACACCAAAATATTTTTTGAAAGCAGCAAATAAAAAACATGCAATCACCAGCCAGCCGCTGCCCAACTGAACCTCGCAAATTTTTGTGCAGTTAACAAGGCAGGCTTCCGCTTTACGCTAAGAACATTAATTTCCAGGTTCGATTCTTTGTTTCGCCGCTAGAGGGGGTGGGGCGTCTTTCCCACCCTGGGCATCTTACCCCACTCTCCCCTACTGACAGAAAACTGTGTAAAACGTCGCTACTTTTCAAGACACCATACAGCGACGTTAATCTGGAACGTCTTGGGGATACGATACGAGTATCAGAGCACACACAATACAAGAAGATCAAGGCAAACATATAGGCAAGTGACTGCAGAGCTTTTCTAGACGGGCCTCCCGTTATTTGTTTTTAGCCAGATTTGAGTGGTCTCACGAGTAAGAACAAGCAAATTCCACTCAAATGCAGAAAGTTCTGATTCGAAGAGTAAGACATAACTTTTTCATAACAGTGATGGCTTTGGAAACATATCAAAACTAGCCGCAGGCAGCCCGGCCAGCCAGTCTGGACTAGCCAGGATCCTACCCCATCCCGGCAAGTCTGATCCTGATCGATGCCTCACTGGGAGGTCCAGGGAGGTCAGGTCGAATGAGGGTAGGACACACAGAGAGCGAAGCCCACGGCGTACTTAATAGATTGCGACCAGCCACTGCCACAAACGGTTTCATCACTATCGACGCTATGGTCGGCATGGCGCTACGGGTCAGCCCGCTCATACTGAGATTTTCCGTTAAACCACAGACAAACTCACTCGCTCGCTCGCCAACCAATGACAAGGATCACCGTACCTGGCACGATCATCACATGAAGAAATATCCGGTCTGCGCTGGCACCAGCCATATCACTGTCCGCTCCACCGCTGGACGGCGGCAGAGTGGAGATCCCCGTCACACGGGGCCTACCCAAACAAATCCCAAGACAAACCCACACGGCGGCAATTAGACATTTGCCACAGCCAGCTCCATCTGTGCCCTTCAGGACTGTGCGATGTTATCGAACAAAGTCGTCACAGCTCCAACACATTCACTTATACCTCTATCACATCTCATCCTCTCCTTCCTCGTCAGGACTTGTCTCACAGTTTCATTCAATCAAACACCGAGATCGTCGGTTACACGGTCTAACCGTCATTACACAACCACTCTCAAAGTCTATCAGCTCCAGTAGGGGCCGCAGCGGTCAAACACCCTACCCCCGGCGCCCATGGAAGTCTGACATACACTCTCGCACGCTGAGGTATCTGATCTAATGAGGAACATGACTGAGGCTATGCCATCGCTGTGATGTGTGCATCGGCCACGGCTGGTGCGTACTTCACATCGGATATATCTGAAATGCAGAGGCGGTGCTTTAGACACGGCAGATGGAGTGTAGCATACTGGCGGCTGTCTTCTGTTACATGAAAATCCAGATACTCAAAAGCAGGCGTTCTTACCATTAAAAGCGCATAAGAATGACAAACAGTCATGATATAACAAGTCACAGGACAACATTTTCAACGTTATGTTACAAATGGGACTCCCATGATTCCAGACTCGTCACAGGTGACTGCAGGTCTGCAGTAATCCCACAGGTAGCACACCGCTTGTACTCCATCAACCCTCAGCCCAGAGCCTCACACCCTTCCAACCCACGCAGGCCCCTATGTCCCCCGGTCACCAATGCCTACCCGTCTGTGCCGGCCGCGTCCCATCCTCCTCTCGGACGGCGTCCCCCTCCTGCGGCGCTGCCCTCTTCTCCTCCCCAGAGACCAGCTCCATGTCTGTACGCGCCGGCAGGTAGGGCTCCGGTCCGACCAGGCTCAGCAGCACTGGTAGAAGAACGAGGCCGTGGAACAGGCCATACACGGTGACGCCGAAAAACACCTGGCGATACACAGCGACATCTGGTCAGTGGGGGGAGAAATTACAGTTCCGAGACGCGCAGCTCGAGACGGCGTGGAAAGAGGAGTGAATCGGTAAGCCCCAGAAAGTCTAATGAATATTGTTCATCTAACGCACACTACCCATTCTAATAAAAGAAATTGCAGGAGGAGCACGAGCCTAGAAGGAATAACGTATATCTGACGCTAACAAGAAGAAAATATGAATAAACGAGTTACGTAATCTGTTGACCAGCAGCAAACATTAGCTTCGCTCAGTCTCCATTCATCCACCGACCCCCGCTACCCCGCCTCACCTTGAAGAACGTCACAAACACGTGCGACGTGGAGGTGGCCAGGAAGACGAAGGCGATGAACGTGCTGAAGCCTCCGTTGAAGACGGCCGGTCCGATGTCTCGCAGCGTGTCGGCGGCCCGCTGGCGACGGTCGCCCCGCTCCGTTAGGAACGTGTGCCCCACGTGGGCGGCGTAGTCGACACACAGACCGATGGCCAGCACCACGTCAATACAGGAGACGGTGTCGATAGTCAGACCCCAGAAGTGCATCAGACCGCCCACGTCCACCTGCCGGGGCACGGGAGGGAGGGCGTCACCGTGAATGAATTAAGTGGTGCAGAGTGGTATCGCATTCAGTGCAGGAAGTACAGAGGTCGGTACAGTGATAGACCTCTCAGGTGTTATCAAAGCAAAACAGACAAGAACCTCTTCCCGCCGCTTACCAGCGTGAGCAGTGCGCACCAGCCTTCTCACCTCTTCCCTCTCTTACCAGTGTGTGATCACCACCCCTCCTCCCTCTCTCTTTATCTCTCTCTCTCTCTCTCTTCTCTCTCTCTCTCTCTCTCTCTCTCTCTCTCTCTCTCTCTCTCTCTCTCTCTCTCTCTCTCTCTCTCTCTCTCTCTCTCTCTCTCACTCTCCCATCCATCTTTCTCACCAGCGTGACGAGAACACAGGTGAGCACCAGCAGACAGACGGTGAGATTGGCGATCAGCAGCAGCACCATCACGAACACGCACACCATGGCCAGGCCCATGTTGCGGTACAGCTCGTATTCGATCACCTGGTCCGTCTCCCAGCTGGCGTAGGCCTCAGCCAGCGGCTGGACCAGCGGTGCTGTGAAACGGCACACAGGTGACAGGGGGAACGAGGTGGTGTTAGGGTGTGGTGGGCGGTTCAGGAGACCCCGTAAAACAGGTTTGATGGATGTCCATTCCCTCACTTTAATTCTATCAACTAAGATACATTTTAGTTCATAACATCCAGTTCATGGTTGATTACCAAACATCAAGCACTGCGTCAAAAGACGTCATTCGTAAAAAAACGTCAACGAATCAGTAGCACCGTTGTTTTGCGGTCACCTAAAACGGCATGCATCATTGCCTCCTGCCTTCCTAAGATGTCCACCACTCTTTCCTTACTTTCCCGACGCCGTAGGGTTTCTCGCGTCTACCTGCGCCACCCCACATTGCCTCCTACCCTCCATGTACCATAACTCTCCGCCTCCTACCCTCCCCGTGCCACCATGCCTCCCCTCCTTGAGTCCTACCTTCGCCGGTGAAGTTGACGGAGTTGACCAGCTCTTTGACGCGCACCATAGCAGGGATCTGCTCCCGTGGCCCGTCCATCAGGCGGTGCGTGAATGTGATCATCGAGGCCTGCGGAAACAGCACAGTGGAGCGGTTACAAGCGGAGGCGACAAATGAAATACGTGTACGCTCCAGACACAGAGTTTGTATCAATCGATAGTAAGAAAGTCAGTGAAATAATCACCAGAGGGGATAAACAAAGAACATTTTTCAAGGATGGAGGTGCTATCGCTGAGTACTTTTCAAAGTATAGATATAAGAAAAAAGTTTTAGTCAAGTCTGAGGATTTAAAACTTTTCGATATATTATGAGCATCAGGCTATGTTTAAACGTTTTTCATATATCCATAGAGATAGCCTTTTTGCATTTCTCTTATATAAGCCGCGACTTTGGGCAGCGGCGGCGCACGTGGCTCACACGTGAGACGCTATGATCATTCTTAGTTCGCGAACGATTATGTCATTGTGAACTTCACGGCTCGACTACAATGACAAACGATCTCAGCTGTTGACAATGAGAGCATCGGTACTTGGATGAGATGCAGAGCCCCAGCCTTACATGAATTTCACAATGATATTACACGCAGTTAACGCTCCACTTCCACTTTGCACCCACAGAGTACTGCCGACCTGATTGCAATAAACCGTAAAAAGTGACGAAACTGAAACGAGCGAAAGGCCTCGTGGGGTGAAAACTACACGTGCGCGAGCTTATCATTAACAATACAACATATTCGCTGCACAGAATCAGACGAATCTTTCGAACTGACATAGACTTCCCACTTCCCAGCCCGTGAGCCCTTACTCCGCAGAATCTACCGTGAGCCTCCTCGCCAGTGCTCCATTACTCCCCCCCCCCCCACCCCACCCTCCGCAAAACCAGGAGGATGGTGACCGGAGCGCTGTTCGGCAGCCGGCTATTTTGTGTGCAGGGTATGACGTATTTCGCGAGCCGACGTCATAGGCGGTGACGTCGGCTCGCGCGCGAGCCGAGCGCCAACGACAAACTAACGGGAACCCTCGGACACCCTCGGGGCATAAACCGCGGAGTAGCATATTGAGCGAGTCTTATAAGGAAAATTCATATATTTTCGTTTCTCAAATGATAATCAGGGTGTCTCTTACCTTTTTACATATCATTTAGGCTTACCTAACACTTCAGTTGCCAAATATCTGCAATTTATTCAAGCGAAGGTATTTTCAGTAAATATCAATGGTATAGACCGAAATCTTTTGAATAAAAACTCCAACCAACAGAAATAAAAATAACTTAATTTATTCCAACCATTTCCTCCAAATAAACAACATAAAAACTCACTTTTACACACATCATTCATAATAAAGCATACTAACACGCCGCTTTTGACAATTGCGGCGTCGAGTGGCGCGCTGCTAGCGCTCTTTTTCGATCGCAGAGACCCTGCACGCGCGCGAGCACACTACGTCACGTCCGGGGGGCACAGGTATATGAAAAATCGCAGTGACGTAACACTTTTCTCGCTTCTCATTGGTCAATAGCCCGTTGCCGGGGTAACGTGCACGTATGTGAGCGCGGGCAAGAGTACTAGCCGGCCGCCGATCAGAGCCCGGGTCCCTTACCGTGATCGGAGGCGCCGGCTCGCCGCAGGTCAGTGTGCCGTTGAACTGGATGAAACTCTGGTATTTGCCTCCGCGCGGGCTGAACATAAACTGGCCCAGCAGCGGCAGAAACTCGTAGCCGTCGGCGAACCGCTCCGGCAGCTCTGCGGGCCGGGTCAGAGGTCAGAGGTCACGGGTCAGCAGGTCAGCAGGTCAGAGGTCACGGATCGGAAGTCAGGGGCCAGAGGTCAGCGATGGTGGAAAACTTGGAAAAGGCGAAACTCTGCTAACGAAAACAGCTAAAGTGATTGGAACTCATAGAATTCTTCTGATTCTCCTTCAGTGAAAAGTGATATCTAAAATAGCGGAACATTGAGCGCGTGTAACTTCGAACGACGAAAAAAAGAAGAAGAAAAAACGTAGGAGACAGCAAGGCTTTTGGAAAAAGAGCAGCACATCACTGCAGTGTGTCTGCGTCCGTGATGCCGAAGTACGGGCATATACATCACAGCGCCCATCAGATCTACAACCAGTAACTCACAGCATCCAGCCGGTCAGCATCAAATCTCACCTCCGTACTCGTTGTAGTTGACATAGAACTGAAACTCGTCGTACCACGAGTCCACGTGCTCAATGCTGGGTTCAGCGCGCAGCTTCTGCGAGAGCAGAGCCATCTGCGGCAGGTTGTCTGCCAGGTGGAGCCCGCTCAGGAACACGACGCCTTCGTGACCTGTTGAACAGTCAATTAGGACGTTCAGAGAGAGTAATGGTCTGAGTGTCGTAGGCGAGCGACCGTCGAGCTGACGCATCAAACGAGGGAGCCCCTCAAAAGAAAAGGTGGTGACCATTTGTTACAGTAATTATAAAAAATACACTTAAATGAAACAAAGACTCCGGCAGAGTCCAGACGGACTCTTCCAGGAACATGCCACATTTCACATACATGTTACGCTTTGCAAAAATCTCAATCGCTGCTGGCGGCTATGATATCTATCTCATGCAACGCTTTGAACAGCCCTCACAGCAATATTGCACGTAATATGCAATACCATGAGCTGAGAGGCGCTACCACAAAACCCCACCACTGTGCGCTGACCTTCATTGGGGAAGAAGCGCTCGACGTTTCTGTGATACATGGACAGGTACGAGTCAGTGGGCAGGAACCAGAGCGGGTTGAACTCCTGCCGTAGCTCCGACAGGCCCCACGAGTTGACGGCCAGCAGCGCGCAGGTGACCACCAGAACAATCACCTGAAGAGAGAGAAAGGTGGGAGCGTGAGGTAGAGGACAGATGGGCGAGAGGTGGGGAAAATGAGAGGGAGGGAGAGGTGACATAGAGAACCGGATCAGACGCGAGGTAGAGAGTGAGGTTATGAGGTGAAAAGAGGGGAGAGGTAGGAAGGATGGGATAGGGAGGAAGAGAAACTGACGGGGGAGTGGTCGCGACTTTGAACGATGCTGAAAATCGAAAAGCAAACGATTGGCTGGAAATTGCGATAGGCTTTGGCAGTGACGAACACGAGGACACACCTAAGGACACGACCGGCGGAGTACTGAGAGTAGAAACTAAGATCGACATATGATCGAAAAGCATCCCCATAGTACCAGACCGCAGCACGGACCGGCCTAGCACGCCCCCGGCGCGGTCATCGTCCTCACAGACCAAGGACGCCAGCCGAAGGACACTGCAGAGGAGAAGCATAAGGCCATGCCGGTTAACGATAGGCAGCTCAATCACATACAATATTTGACCTCTCATCCGACCGCCGATCGGCTGCGCTTACGCGAGCCACCCTGCAACTTATAATAGTACTGATGTTACGATAGCGCCGGCGTCGGCAGAGGTCGATGGCTCGGCAAACAAGGTCCAAGGGAAGTCCACAACGATGATCGGCAGTAAAGCATTATCTGCATGATCTGCGAAGATCAATCTATTCCGATAGCCTTATCAGATAAGGCCCTGCCTAGGCGCGCGTGCGGAACCGCAGACATGAGGCCCACTAGCAGGAAGAAGTGCAAACACTGCTGCATGTCGAGAGGGCTGGATTAGGGCGACTTAGCTGACATTATATTTACATATGCTAACTGTATATACGCAGGGAGATAATGACCTTTTTCCACAAAATCTGAGTTAGGACCATTTTCTGACAAAACACAATAAGTTATAATGTAAATTAAAACCATTTTGCTCTATTCGGTACCTTGCCGCAAATATCTCAACTTGAAGTCACGTTAGCGGGGAGCGCTGAAAATGACCGTTGAATAAGTACTTACATCACTTTTTGGTACTTGCATGTAATTTTGTAAAATGAGCGTATTCCTTACATTTGATCTTCATCACATCTAGTTAGTTAATGGTCGTCTATAGTTCCTTCAAAAGATATTCATGGTTTGGGGGTGGTTTGTGTCTAAATTTACGCAACTATTTTTCCCGTTCATCATCTGACGCCATATGCTGCTATTTTAGTAGCAACGACTCAATTTTGAATCGGACCCGCCGACTGCACAATAAAAGAAGATAGATACAACACTTTTGCGGCATCACTGAAAAACTTATGCAGTACTGTTATCAAAATTCTCATAACACCGTTCGACAAACCTGAAGTCTTTTTGAAATAAATATGCTTGTATTTTTCGCTTCAGGCTCTGACGCCAAAATAATGAATTTCGTAGTCGCAATCGCAAGATTTGGCTGCGTTTCTGGCGCATGCCGTTCATTTGTGGCGCAAAATAATACTTGGAAACAAAGAAGAGTAGGCACTATGTACCCCCGAATTAGAATCTAATTAATTCTAAACCGAATTAACTCTAATTCAAATTAGAATCCTTACAACCAAGCAACGACAACGTGATAACATAAACAAAAACCCAAGCGTCGCTGTTTGAAACAAAAGCGCCATATACTGCGACTTTTTTATAGAGAAGGACAACGCATTTCGGTGGGTGTTACAAGTACTGCAAGTACTGCTTCTTTTTTGCAAAAATAAAAACCTTTCTCACATACGAAAATGTGCTAGGAAATTTTCATATTTTATAGAAACTACAGTAGAAATAGTATAGATGTCGAGTAATTTTTATTTAAGAAAAAAGAAAGCTCATTATCTCCCTTTAACGCTAAGATATTAGCCACGGCACTCGCCAGTCGCCGGCCACGAAAAAAGAAGAGAAAGTGCCGTACATTCTGGGTCTCTCTCTCTCTCTCTCTCTCTCTCTCTCTCTCTCTCTCTCTCTCTCTCTCTCTCTCTCTCTCTCTCTCTCTCTCTCTCTCTCTCTCTCTCTCTCTCTCTCTCTCTCTCTCTCTCCCCTCCCTCCCTCTCTCCCCTCCCTCCCTCTCTCCCCTCACCTTTCCGGGGACACTGAGCACTGCCGGCGCGTACACTCTGCTGAAAAAGTTCTGGAAGTAGTTGCGCTGACTGCATGTGTTCGGCACCCAGTTGCGGTGGGTATAGCAGGGCACCAGGCCGTCGCGCCGCGCCTCAATGCGCCGCTGGTCCAGGGTAAACCAGGCTACGAACCAGGTGGCCTGGATGAAGTAGACGGCCATGATGCCGACCGCCGCGTAGATGCAGAACGACTGCAGCGAGGGAAGCACCTGCACGGAGAGAACGAGCGGTGTCACAGCGACGAAGGGTGTGATGAGAGAAACACGGGATAGTCAGACATGAACGACCCGTACGATATGGATACAAACCGGAATATGACAAATGAGAACTACCCTGCAAACTAACTGCTTAACTATTTCAATTTTTTCTTGCATCAATTGCTTCGAATTCTGACGTTAATAGAATCAAGAATCAAGGTTGTTTGGGCTCTGGAAGAAGACGTCGAGGTCTATGATGTAGCCCATTTCTTTTTTTAATCACATGTTCTTCATCAGTTTGATTTCTCTTGGGTCAGTCTTATCTGTCTGCCCGATGTTTGTCGTATCTTGACTTAAATTGGTTAGATGTTTTTGCCATCTTGATGTGAGAGCTTAACAAATTCCATTTATTTATAACTCTTTGTGAGAAAAATCTTCCTCTCTTCAACGTTCAACTTCAAATAAATAATCTATACACACGTTAGTCAGATTCGAGCTTTGTCACGCTATTGGTATCACAAAAATACTGTCTCATACAATTCGTGCCAGTCATTTTATCATAAGAGCTCTTATACACTATCAAACCGCCAAAGAAGTGTCCGTAAGTAGTGCACTCCCTATTCAGTAACCAGGCCGCCTCTCTCGCACGGAACATACGCCACGCGCATTCGTAAACCTTTGGACCTCTTTTTATCGAAGTGACAGTCCTAATCAAACACATGCCACGAATGACTAGTCGAAAGCTAAACGTAGCACTCAAACCATCAGAATTGAACCTTGCACCCAAATCAAGCCTGGCAAATAAACCAACCATATAAAAACCATACTCGCTGTATCACGCAGTCGGGCGAAGGGTAAAAAGTGGTCCAAAAAATACCTTCAGCGTAGGACGGGAGTGGCACGGGAGTGGCACTGGAGATGCGCCCCCAGCGCCGCATTCACAGAATGATGCGACAAAAACGGCGACTGTTCAATGTCTGATACCTACTGGCCCCAATTCACTGAACACTGGGATGTGTGGGTAAGATTATACACTTGGCTTACAGATTTGATTAAAACGAACGCATCAACTAAGCGCCGTCGAATCTTGTTTATGAAGAATCATTACATCTAATAATAGCACCAAGCAGACGCGATTTGACGGCGAATGAACTATCTCAAAATGTAGACCACCCATCCGACCCCACACGGCCCTTTGGTGAAAACGCGGGCGTTTTCCCTGGCACCACCCGTCGAGCGCACCCACTCACCGTGGACGCGCCGATGCCGAACGCCACAAAGTCGGTGAGACTGGTGACGGTGATGGACACACCGGCGTGCTGCAGGGCTCGGCCGACCCGCTCGGGGAGCGGTCGGTGCCGGTCGGCGGCCGGCAGAGTTTCCCAGCACTGCAGGACTACGAACATGTCATCCACGCCCAGACCGAGCAGCAGCAGCGGTAGGATGTTGTGCACCGGCCCGAAGAACACGCCCAGTGCCGAGCAGAGGCCTAACGAGATCACCACCGCCAGGCCCACGCTGGCCACGCCGATTATCGAGAGGTATGTCTGGGGAGGGAGAGAGCAGACAGGTGTTACTGGCGGAGTGTGAGAGGGGGAGCTCAGTGGATCGTCTGTAGAATGACACGCCAGTCGTGTACATGATAAGCCTAAGGGGGCAGTGTTGAATAGGCTTACTCGAGCCAGCCATGAGAGCTAAGTAGCCGAACGCAAAGACACATAAACATGATAGCTTTCCAAATAATGACGCATTCCGGTCCGGGCTCCTTCTACGACTCCACTCAGAAATTACATACGGCAAACATGAGAGGACAAATGTAATCAAGATCGCTTGTCATGGTCATTTTCGAAGACCGTGAATCACCAGGCCAATGAACCGGCGATAGCATCATGAAGAAATCGATACTCACAATTAATTACCAAATTACTTTATTTACTATGTCAGTTATGCAACTCACTATCTGTAGTTAGCAAAACAGCACTGCAAGACAGAAATGAATACCCACGGGCCACGACCACAAGTTTTTGCATTGTCTTTTATGTGCACAAAATAATAGATGGCCGTAGTGCTCGCTGCACGGACATGACATAAAAAGCTACAACAGCGAAGCAGCCACGTGCTCAAAGTCCAAATGACGTTACTTCGACTGTAGGCTGCACGGACTGCACAAACTCAGGAGTCAGTTGCGCCACCCCTAAACTATCAGCGCATCTCGGCATTCAGATTCCGTAAAGTGACGTCACTCGTCACGGTTCGCCGTCACGACCGTGTCGCACATCTCCACCCGTCACGGTGTGATGACGTCACGCCGCGTCACGTGACCTTCACTGCGTCACAGACACGTGCGGCCGTTGGCCGCCCATCCGGCCGCTGTGGTGGACCCTCGAGTGATAACCGCCCGCCCGCTGGCACGCCGCGCGGACGGGCCGAGGGGTCATGGGGGACACGCAACGACAGAGGCTCTGGAGGCCGCGGCGGGGCCGCACACGGACGCATATCTCATTGCTAGAACACAAACAGGATATGTGAGCCACCAATGGCCACATGACCACAGTCCGCCCATGAGGAGAGGAGCGTACACCGACAGGACGTCGTTTTGTAAGTGGATACGCCTTGATCTTAAATAAGACGGGTCGGCAATCTTATTTTTGGGCACGGGCCCAATGAAACCAAGAGGCCGGACCAATTATGGTCATGTCATTAACATCATTTACTGTATTCGGCAATCGCATGAAACACTTGTCAAAAATGAAAACGTAATAAATGGAATGCTTAATTTTGATAGATCAATTACTGTGCTGTGATGCGTCATACAGTGAAATATACGCTCTTAAACAGACTGCATCAGCAGACGAAAACCAGTTTTTGCGCAGCGTGCACTATATTTTTGTGAGCCAGATCCGGCCCACGGGTCGCGCAGCTTTGCAACGTTTCACAGACAGGCGCGATGCAATGCATTGTCAAGGCGGAATTACGAGCCGGTCCAGGGAGAGGATGGGGGGGGGGGGGCGAGGGGCTCCGGGGAGCTACGCTCACCCTGTGTTCGACCATGTTGCAGCGACCCAGCATCAGCTGGATGTAGATGAACATCACCACGTATCCCAGCACCAGGTACTTGACGTCGCCGAAGATGGTCGAGTTGCTGATCTCTCCGAAACTGGACACAAATACAGACACACGTGTCAGTGGCCACGCCAGAGGGCAAGGGTGCCGGTACTTCGAACATGATCAATATTTGGAAATACTGTCACATGGACATCGGACATAGAGCATAAACACACGTGGCGTTAAAATATTATAGCAATAAAATTTTGCGTACCCAGAATGTTTTCATTGTTGATCATTTAGGGATGCACAGCTGACCACAGTATTCAAACATTCATAACCTATAGCGGCCGGTGCCCCTGCTCGACCAACTGGATCGGATTAAATGACAAGTCTCCCAACTGCCCAGCAACAGTGCGATTGCCTCAAACGGCAAGTATGCAGCACACATGACGAAAACACCGCTGGCAGTGTAAACGAGACTCCCGAGGGAGCCAACAAATGTCAGTCAGACCATGACGTTTTTGTCGTTTCTGACTGGAGATGAAAAAGTTCAGACCAGCCTACCGGCAGATGCAGCAACTATACGGCTGGACACCGGGTAACAACCTAGAGCAGGCCGGTATTTAACTGAACAAAGTCGCTAATTCTGATACTGTAACTTATCCTCAGCATGCCGCAAACTCTGGAGGGAACGGAAATAGTGAGTGTCACCTGGCGAGGACAGAAAACTGAAACTGCAGGGCTACAGTGCGGTGAACAGTGTAGGTGAGCAAACCTTGTGCGGCTAGACGGTATTCCCTCGTAAAAGGTCAGCTGATATTACGTGACTGATCCAAAACCCATAATCGGCGATACAGTACCACGTGACTCATCTACTATCGGCGATGTAATGTCACGTGACTCACCTTTTTCCGGCGCTGTAGTACCATGTGACTCCGTGAAGTGAAGGCGCAGAGCTAAGAACGGACAGAAAGTGGTTCTCAAACAGTAGAGTGTTCTCGTCCACCTGAAAACAGGCATATCCGTGTTATACGGAGTTACATACACACGTCAAACTGTCATGCATTACTGATACGAAAAAAAAAACTTAGGCTACCTCCACCTCTAACGCAGATAGCGCGAAAGTGGTCATCCAAAACACACACCTGCTGATTAATGGTTCACCCGGCAGTCTAAAAACTAGCAGCACAGATGAGATTTACCTTCACCGAACACAGTGAGCGGCGCAAGCACGCTAAATGAGGCCCAATGCCCAGCCATCAGAAAAGTCAGTCATATTTAGCCGGACTATTATCGGCGGTAAATAATAGCCTGATCTGTTTCTTGAGTAGGCTGACGCAACACTACGTTCTTACAGTTCCTACGCAGCTAGACGGTTTAAAACTCTAGCAACATTTACAACGACCTCCGCGATAAGTAAGATAAGAGACAAAGCTATTCAGATAGAAGGTATAACATGCTTAACACATACAGCTGACTCAGGTAATTGACCTCAATTTCGTACGAGACTGGCTGGGTCTTTGTATACGCCAGATACATTTTTCACCTCCAAGACATCGCTGACTTTACTGGACCGTACTGTCCACTTGACTGTCCACGATTCATACACAAGGAAATATTAGACCACACCATATACATTCAGTCCGTGATGTTTAGATATACGTTCACTAAATGCCACTCTTGCGCTCAATTGCACCCACCTCTCTCCTCAGGGGACCGACCACTCCCTTTCAGGGGTCATCCCTCCAGACTCCCAAGTAACACTATTACTCCCAAGTAACACACGACCCTCATCACAGGTAACATCCACCCCTTCCAATAACATCAGCTACTACATATTCCCGAAACTCCCAACCCTCCAGGCAGCACATCTCCATCTATCACGACCGATAGCCCACCCCTCTTCCCAACACAAGTTACACCCATCCCCGCTCCCCACCGCCAATTCTCACCGGCTCGCCCGTTCCTGTGTCGCTGACGATGACATTTTCGGCGTCCGGGTCCCTTCGAACTGCCCAGGCGAAAAACGCGGCGCTGGCGGAGATCACGTGACCCGTACTGTTGCGCTGAACGCCGCCCAGGTAGCGGGAGACGTTGAACCGGTACCCGAACACAGGGCTGGAGACAGGGTGACGTGAGGTCAGCACCAGCGATAGGGCAGAGTCACGTGAATTGGCGACAGGATGGTGTCGATTATCACGTTTGAGCACATTACGTCACAGACGGATGCACATTGGCACAAGTGTACCGTTATTTTACAGAGCGAGTGAATATGATATTTGTTACGTAATTTATGTATAGGCACTGGTTTAGGTTATGACTAGGATATCCGGTGCTCGATGTCAAAATATTATTACATGTGCGGCCGCGATGTTTCTGGGAAGGCGAAATGAACACTCACATTTGGAAATGAAGATATAATGCTTACTAAAATAGCTATCCAGTGAAACATTTGATCACAGAAGAAACCCGCCGTAGAAACGCCAGAGTTAGTTATATAAGCGAGCAGCCATTCTGCGTAAATGGATATAGGGACGATATTCAGTGCCTACATATCTCAAAAGAAATGCAGCTAGAAACTTATGCAAGCGAAGGAAGCAAATTTTAGCACAACATTGCAGTCGTGTGCTGTCATTTGTAGGCACACAGCCGTCGTCCATTCAGGACTCGTTAGTTCCGTACAATGGTGCCAATTGACCCGAAGGGGGCAGGGACCGACTCGGAAGTTCAGTCGCATTGAGAAATAGTCCATCGTGCAGCGCCTTTGGAGCGTGGTCGACTGTACGCCAAGACTGTGTCCAACGGCCGAGAGGGCCGGCGTAGAAATACTGAACGAGCATGGTCAGCAGCGACCACCACCGATTTCGATACCACAGCACTGCTGTTCGGTGAACCTGGCTCTCACAACCTTCACACTTAGAGACAGCCGTGCCGTGACGGACCGCGCCCGGGCCAGTACGGGCCGCCGGGGACCGCAAACAGCCGTCAGACGACGACCGCCTGGAGCGTCAAGGTCAAACACGACACAAAGGCCGCAGCTGACTGGCAGCAAACACTGGCCGGATCGCCCTCAGTGAAACGAGAGCGGAGCGGCATTGGTGACGAAACCGGCACGGAAATCAATAAAGGAAAAAAGAAGCAAGACAGAATAATCAAAGAAAATTAGAAGTTTATCACCATCCAGAGAGCGTTTCTAGAAAGACAGACACTCCGGACCTCTAAGCCATTATACCATAGCCTGAAAACGTAACAATCGTTAAAACATCCTCTGGAGCATGCTACCAACCATTTTGTTCTCGACATTTTTCCTCTCGTCCTCACCTATAGGCGGCAGTGTTGACAGCAGTGAGCACCTGCTCCCTGGTGAGGTTGGCGATGCGCCGCTCGTTAAAGCGCCACAGCTCGAGCAGACTGGCCTCCCAGCAGGGGCGCTCCATGCCCTCCACCAGCATACAGTGCAGGCTGGTTGGCAGGCTGACCGACGGGTCGAAGTCGTCGTACCCCGAGACATCAAACTCGGGCCGCTGACTGGCCTGACGGCGGCGGCGGCGGCGGCGGCGCGTTTCGGACACTGCTGAGTCGGTCTGGCTGTCCTCAGAGACTAGAGATGGGTCCGGGACTTCGTCCTCTGTCTCATAGACCTCGTCCTCGGGCGCAGCCAGGGATGGTAGTCTGTGGACAGCGGGGCTGGGCGATTAGGGATGCGAGCGGACGAACAGGGCGGGGCTGGATGGCAAGGTTGGACAGGCAGGGGCTGATGGGAAAACGGTCACGGGAGAGAGTAAAACGCGAGATGGCGGACAGGAGGGATATTCAGGGGTCAAGGGACAGGCGGCATGGTAAAAACAAAATAGAGGCAATGGGCCTTCGCAATACGTTGGCACTAAGGCATTACCCTCCAGTAAAACAACAGTAAATTTATATTTTATGAAATAAAAACTTCATTTTATGCCTGGTTTCTCCTTGTCTGGAGCCTTCACAACCCAGCACGAAGTATGGTGCTCACACCAGACAAACATGAAGACAAGTCCCGAGGGCGGGGCCTTCAGACGATCTGGCTGCTTTCTTACCGGCTCTCGTAAAACAAAAACAGCCCATTACGCTCAATACAAAGAAGACAACGACGCATCTGCATAGATTATAAATTATGTTTGGTGCTTGTTGCTTTACGAGATAAACCAGAGTTATTGGCTCGTTAGATGACTGTAGAAGGAGACGGCATCGGGCTTGTTTGGGTCTGCTTTGATCCGATCATGGTGTTATTTGCGGCACGTGCTAATTTCACGGGCCAAAATTCGACTTGCAAGACCATTTCAAGCTGCAAAATGCTAACAGCCCAATAAATATACCTAACGACAAGCAAAACTAGGATATGATCAAATTCCGACAGACTAAAAGAGGAAGGGTGTATCAGACCCAGGCTATACCTGATTCATATACAGCGTGCCGTCCGGGTGTAATGAGGAACGACGAACAAAGCTATCGAATTTTCCTAGCTGACCATACAACCTGGCTACCGCAATGCGGATTGATGAAGCCCCGAATCACCATAAGTCGTTACCACGGCATGAGAGCTCTACTCAGCCGATGTCATTCCCATTTGTAAACAAATTTGTCCAACGAGTGGTTACTATATCCCTCAGCAATGTAGCCTATGACTCGTCGATCTCGTGCCAACAAGGGGTCAGTGACTCGTAATCCATAAGAAGTAGTGTCTAATAATCAGTCAGCAGGATCAAAGTCGACACTTTATCAGTGGACTCGTTCGATATCGTTTTGGATCGAAAGTGTAGCGAATAACTGGACACTGTCAAAGTTGTCAACTATTTGGAAGATTCCATGGCCTATCACGCGGACACCAGACGCGGGAGCACATCTCTCAGAAGACTTTTCAGCCGATAAGAGGGAATCGAGGAATTGGAGACCAACGAAAAACAATGTGCAGGTATGATGATAAGGTGGTTAAACACAGAGGATAAAAACAATTAAGACACCCCTAACAAAGCCACAAAACACGAAAACAAAAAGCGATCACATTCAAGTGAGGAGAGGAAAGGTCCAAAACAACTTGACATGAAACAAGCGGATGGTGAGAATCAGAGACGATACCGGACTGACTACAGACTCACTGGTAGTGACACCATTCCGAGAAGCCGTCAGAGAAACCGGGTGGTTCGTGCGGATGGAAGGGGGAGGGGGGGAGGGGCAAGAAAACTTTACTAATAGGGGGAGCGAGTCAGGGCATTGGAACCGAGTATACGCAGAGACCGTGTTTCGACAGTGGAACAGATTACTTTGGTACTTACCGTGCACAGACGTCCGACCACGCCGGGCCAGCACCGGGGACTGCCGACACCCGCTGATGCACCCGCAGCATCTGCGAGAGAAGAGCAGAGGCAAGGCCACGGTAAGGATACGGTAGAGGCGCCGGACCGATCCACGGTTTACAGCACACACCTACTGGTGCTGCCGCAACATTCTCCCGTATGAGAGCACAGACGAGAGAACGGACGAGCGTTTTTATACGGAGCATGGGAGAACCAATAGCCAACTAGCACTGATTAAAGGGACCCTCCCACCTTCAAAAAAGTTAATGAATTGCCATGAAAGTGATGTCGCTCGGTTCAGAAAGAGCGAAAACGAATATCTACCAAATTTCATCGAAAAATATTCACCGGTTTTCAAGATATAAGATTTTTACATTTGTTTACTTTTTGGGATCTCCGCTGTTCCTAGCGACTTTATTTGAAAGTGCGGCACTTGTTGTGCGCAAAGCGGCATATACCACCGCGTGCTACCAAACGTTTTAGTAAAAGATTTAAAATCGTTATATCTGCGTTGACGTCACAAAGTCTAAGAGGGCATTCCAATGCATTAGCCCCTTAGAATCCGAAAACTACAAGTTTAAAATTCCATATCTCCGAATTAAAGCATTTTTCGATGCTGTGAGTGCCCAAACGGGTATTTTCAGGCCATATTGGCCACCAATTTGGCTATTTCAACTCAAAACTAATATTAAGGTGGGATGGTCACTTTAAACTCAGGGAGATACTTCCAAAACGGCAATGCATGGGTACAAGGTACTAGGTACAAACAAACAGTTTGATTGCACCCATGGGTTCATAAACAGGTCAGCCGGCGGCCAGAAACAAGCATCGTTTATCACCGGCAGTTGAGAGATATGACGCGGTTACGGCCGCCAACATGCAGCGCCGGCACAGCCGGCGCCGGCCAGTTCATTTAGCCGTCTGCATCCCTGCCGACAGGCATGTTGACGTGAGTGGCTGCTATTAATGTTTGGAGCGGCCGCAACGAGAAAAGCCGGTGATAGGTCAGCAACGAACGGCCTGCAAGACCAACTGGAAAGATAAGATATATTTATGGAATGCCGGTAAGCTCGTTATGGCACCGAGCCCCCGGCTGGAAGGTTCCAGAGTTCGACCATGATCGGATATAAATAATAATATGAGCCCTTGGTGCACGAGACACCACGCTGGTACGAAGTGTCCGAATGACGCGCTACTTTCAGCAGCGGGACCCTGAGCAGCTGAGCAGAGCACTGTGACGCAGCGGTTTTGATATGGGGGTTATTGCACCACCGGCGCTCCAATGTCACCAGCAGATGAGCTCCAGGAAACGGTGTAAGTAGATCCATCGCTCGTGGGGTAAACAAAGTAAACAGTATAGAGTAAACGTGACGCACACATGGGTTAAGAGATGACATAGAGACCCATATGACTCCTCAGTCAATGCTCGCTGGGATCTGTGCTTGAGCTATAGATCATGTCCGATGAATATCACATTTATGCAGCCCATTAGGCTCTTCACACCTAAATGTACATAAGCTGCTCACTTCACATCGCGTATTAGTGTCTAATACATATTCCCTGTCGATATCTGGTATTATCTCTCTATCGAACTATCCTCATTCCCACAACGTGTAATCCTGCGAAGTGTGTACCGAATCACCTGTTGTTACAGCTTATCAAACAACCAAGTCATCTCCCGGATCGAAGTTTCTAGTCATTATCGGCCACTTCAGATAGTCAAACCAGACACCCCTCTCCACCCGCTGTTCCCAAGAGCACCGCCACCCCTCCCATCGGAAGTCAGTCTAGCCGTGTTACTCTCACCCCCCCCCCCAACTCATACCTCTTGTATCACTGCCGGCTCCAGAACATTCTCAGCCGTGACGATAGCGTTCTCGAAACGGAACTCTCTCGGATAATTGTCCTGCATCCAGTCGTACGTTTTGACAAAGTCCGAGTCTTGCGGTATCCAGAGTTTGAACGGCCGGTTCTCCTGGTGGAAGTTGAGCAGGCCGATTCCGCAGGCCACGGTAATGGCCAGAACCGAGACGATGTAGAGGTATGGGTGTCGGCATACCGTGTACCCGTGCCTGCCGGGTACGGAGGGGGTGTCAGCGGGGTACATACTAGGTACAAGCCGGATTTAGTGTGTGGGTGGGGTACAGGGAGGGTGACAGTGAGATGCAGGTACGGGTTGCAGGCATGGGTGGAGTTTTTCCAGGGAAGTTGGTGGGGCAAAAAGTCGTCAAGCCTAAAATGACCAATTGTTAAGTTTAATAAAATGCAACACTGAATCAATTCACTTCATTACCGAGACAACATTTTGCATTACACAGATATTTCAAAGCTCCTCAATGCAAAAAAAAAACATTGATTGTAAAGCAACAAAGTCCTGCAAATCAGCTAAAGTTGGTGGGGAAAAACGCTTATTGGTGGGGCAAAATGGTAAGTTGGTGGGGCAGCCGCCCCACCAACTGTACCTATAGGAAGCTCCGCCCCTGGTTGCAGGTACGGGTAACGGGTGCCGGATATACGTGCGGGTGCCGTATGTGAGTATGGGTACCAGGTGTGAGTTTGGGTACCAAGTATGGGTACGAGTGTCTGGTATATAGCAAAAACACGGTCTATTGGTATGGATACCGACCGGGTATATACTCGGGTGACGAGCAAATTTACTTGTAAAGAGTAAAAAAAAAAACGGTTATCACGAGTGTCTCATAGGTACGGATATCTAAAGACGTGTTAACAAGTGAGTCATGATTGTGTTTAATTGCATTACATTCACTTTAATGCATTATCTGGGGGAGTAAGCAAGAGTAAGTGCCCTCTGAGACACGTCATATCCCGATGAAGAGATTTAGTATGATGTTTCACAGACATTGACGGACGAGTTAAAAAAAAAAAAATAATGCTTTAAGTCATTGGTGTCAATTCCAGTGCCATAAATACCAGCCTCGTCAATATTCGTATTTAATGCAACCGGTTCCAAGCTAACCGACACACGCGAGATACAAAGCTAATCCTGGTGCTTGCGTAAAGCTGGCTAGACTTGTCTCGGGCTAAATACCACCGCCTCAAGGTCAAACAGATCTACGCTGGGGACTGGAACGCAGCTCATGAGATGGCACTGGGGCACAGCTGGGCGGCGCTTACGTTAAGCACAAATGGAGCGGAGACGCAATACGCCTTGGGGGAGGGGAGATATTTGGCAAACGGTTGATCGCCCGCTTTAAGGACAGACACCTTCCCCATCCACAGGGTAACAATAGAAAGCCGTGAGTCCCATTCAGCTATGGACCATACCCAAAGGTCAGGCACTTAGCGACAGCCCTCACCAGCTACCGTCTCCTAAAGTCACGAATCGTTAACCTATTTACATACACTGTGCGTGAGCCATGCTCCATATCATGAACAGTATGACGCACGTGCTACTTCTCAGGGACCTCTCAGTACTGTGATTCACGTGCCGCCGCCTTCCCCAGCGTAGCTCACCCCCGTAGTCGAGCGACGTGCGCACGCTTTATGAGAGCTCCCTGGCTGGCCCGGCGGCCGCGCGCCGGCCGGCTGGCCTGACAGGCAGTTAGCACAGTTTACGCGCATGGCTGGAACGCTCCCACCGATGACGTCATCGCTGATCGGAGGCCGGCGATGGCGCAACAATACTGCAGTCTAGTTTCGAAGAGATAGGCCTGGTTAGGAGTGCAGGACCGGTGTTTTAGTTGACCATGACAGATTAGGAAGACTAATACCTACTTAGCCGGTGAATCAGTTGCACTTCATGCGCTTGTTATGTAACATGTAATTGTAGGTCACATGTTACAAATAACGCACTGATAAGTAGTGAGATGACTTTTAGGTGATCAACTGAAAAACGCCATAGAGTTTATTCACGCAAGATTCACTCATGTGGTATTGTGTGCACGTGAGCTCGTGCTAAATGGGTCTCTACTGCCTTACTGACTTGTGCGGCCATCCACTAAGACGGCCTCTAATTGGTACAAACTTTGAGCGCAGTCAGCTCAGCCGTTCTTTAGATGCACTCGTAGAACACCCTACCCCTACTGCACGTGCAACTGCACGTGTGCACGTGCAGGCTGCAGTAGCAGCCCTGCCGTGACATATGTGAATGCATCGCCCGATGAGAGCCCGCTGTCCAAAGATAGCGAGATAAGAGCTCAAACGTAATCGGTGCCTAGCCATTGCGGGGCTATATTGTAGGCGGGAAAAAACTCGAATGGCCTTGAACTGGCAGGGCGCACGTTACGAATGTTTTGAAGCTCATCTAGATGCATCAGGGCTAGAATCTGTGGTGGAAGGGAATGAATGGAGCTAACCAGTGTACGATATCGGAAGTCAATTTCATCGCGGCTGCCGTGACATAATCTTTCAAAACGTGACGACAACCGCTCCCTTTCACTCGTTTAGAATATCGCGCTGGCCCGTAATCAGACGTGCGTGCTTGTGGGTCCTCGAATCAATAGCAAAAGTGTTACGATAGCTGTGCACCGATAGGTATAGTTTATAATTGTCCCTGTTATGCCAATTTTTCAGAGAGATGGAGGTTCGGCAGGCTTTTAGACATTGATACCAGCTAAGATTCATATCAAAGGGAGGTGAGATATTGGGTTAATTCGACTACCGACTGCAGTGGCGTGCGCCGCAGTGGCTGAGTCCATCCCATTGGGAAAGGAGTGTCTCGGTAGAACAGCCACCCAGTCGCTACCCCCTCCCCCCCTCCGCCCCCCTCCCCCCGGAGCTGAGCTCTGGGGCTTCACCGGTTGTCTGGTGGGTTATAGACAGCCAGCAACACGGAATATGATCACGCACGGGTTGGTAGAGATGACGAAAGCAAAGGTAGTTCTTACTTAGATTCCCTTTGTCATGGAAGAAAATCCGCGAGCCAGCCTAGCTTGCGGAAGCATTGCAATCCATTCAATGAAACACAGGCGGCCATGGGAAGGGAACATTATAGGCCCACACATAGTCCAACAGTAAATCTGTGTTCAGTAACACACAGTAACAAACAGTAAACAGTGAAACCCCAACCTGGACACATGGAAATGCATTACCCGGTGGATGCCATCCGATCGACCAAGTTTCGTCGCAACCGCTCCGACCATTACGGAGTTATTGTATACGCGGAACAATTCTGACAATCCTGATTTAGAACGTGGTATGTGCAACGACGCTAGCCTAGATGCATCTAGAGAGATCAACATCGGGATAAGAAGGATGAGGCTTCCAAACAGAGCAGACCGTTGGTCAAACCGATGTTCAGTTGTGAAGATATGAGCCTCCCCAAATCGTTACGTAACCGGAACAGTTTTGATATCCCTGACTTGACACGTGGCACGTGCCGCGACGGTCACCTGGATGCATCGAGAGTTGTCTATATCGGGTTAGAAGTGATGAAGCTTCCCAGGGAGCAGAGAAGACCGCTTGTCAGACGTACTTGCGGTTACAAAGATATAAGCTTCTCAAAGGCTTTACAGACCGGCCGGGCCGTTTTCAGTCATACTGAAAAGACTCGCTTAGCGCTCGCTCGTAATCACACAACATTCCGGTGGACGCGTACTCCAGCGGAGGTTAAACGGCTCAGGTGAGGTCAGGGTCAGTGAATGTTTACGAAACTCCCAGCTCACAAAAACCGGATAACTAATGCGAGTCCCTCACACCGATAAAACGAGTCTGGCACAGTCGCCCCGGCGTCTGGCACTCACTGGTAGAAGAGGTACTCGAAGCCGCCGATGAACCGGGACGAGACTCTCCGCAGTAGACCGGGCGACTTCATCTCGGGGTTGGCACCGGCCTTCTCGAGCGCCATCCGCTCACCACCTGCCCCTGACGCGATCCGACGCCCACTGCACTACACGCAGCGGCGGCCGCCGACTTTGAGAGGTGGCCGCGCGGCTGCCATCTGCCGGAGGGACGGGGAGTTGCAGGTAGGCCGGCACGAGCATCTTTGGCACGAGCAGAGGACACTGTATCACGTTCCGCCCCGATTGTCCAGTTCCTAGCGAGGAGAGGACACGAGGAGAGGACATGGTGTTACGTTCTGCTCCGATTGTTCAGTTCTTAGCGCACGTGATATATGTAGTTTATAAAATTGGGCGTTGAAAGTGTCTGTAAGCAGGTCGCAAGCGTCCCACTATCTAGCTCCAGCCCTAATTCAGCTTTTCTCGCTCAGGTCAACTAAGATCGCTTAGCTCATCGCAGTCATCCGTCCCGTCGTTTCCATCCTCAGGATAGTCAAATCCTTCTCATCCGCCCCTCAACCACCCACACGTTCCGGGCTGGGCGGTCAACTTTATCCCATGCGTCTAGCTCCACCCTAGGAGCAGGCAGCTGTAGTCGGGTGCGGTAACTGTCAGGAGGCTGGGTGGCCTGTCCTCGTGATGGGCTCAGCCCCGACGGTTCACCAGGGTGCCCGCCCAGACCAATGTCTCCCTTATAATTCCTATCATCTGTCTGGCTTTGCAAAAGTCTCGTGAGGCCGAAAGAGCGCAACCCAACAAAACACACAAACAAATAATCGCAAAGCATATCACAGCTTTCCTACGGACGGACACAACCAAGACGCAAATAACTATAACTAACATGCCTCACTCTCTACACCCCTCTAGCCATTCTGCAGCTGTAGTCTCAACCAGCCGCAAAACCATGAGTTGGGTTCGAGCAGTCTACATGTACAGGTCTCGCGGGTTTTAGCGGCAGGTTTTGCACCTATGAAATTTAGTATACTTCAGGCTATATCTTGGTCGTCTTAAGCTTTTGAGTGTTGAAGATGCAATAGACTTGTTCGTTCACAAGCCTGCCATGATCGTTTAAAATGGCTTCATCGTTGATCGCCGATTAGTTTCTGAGATATAGCCGGAAATGTAAAAGGGCAAAACCTACCGAGAGCCGTACGTATACAATTACACGCGATCCCATGGTTCTCTAATGGCCTACATCATCTCCCATTTTCTTACATGCTTTGCAATAATATCATTGACTGAAGTGAAACCTTTCGTGCTGTGACCAAACAAAGCGGCAAGTGATTCATAAACTTATTGCAATAACAACTAAAAAACGCTGTTATTGTTAACGCAGTATTGACGTCATAATCAAGTGCTTCAACTTCAAAGGACATCGCAGCCCGCAAGTACAAGACATCCGGAACAGTAAAAAGTTCAATGCAAAGTAACGCTACACAGCAAAGATAATCTATTCCACAATGCATTCAGGTCCCACGCTGCCAAGTCACTTCGGTTTTCAATCGCATGCCTCTTGAACGTGACATGCACATGATAACCAATACAAATCTCTCTGAAACAGGCACTGTGATGATACTAGCAAACCGTGACTAGCATGGGAAATACACAATATGAAAAAGCAATGTCCCTTCACACAAGTTTCGCTATATTTTACATCCAATGTCCATCCGAGGATCTGACTGTACTGTCTCGTAATAATATTGCTCATGTCTATCTGACCAGCCAGTTGCATATAAAGAAGTAGCTATCCTGAGCAGCCAATTACAACTAAGGAGGTGACTATCCGAATGCAGCCTGAGACGTTCTCTTCTGCCTCCCACTGTCCGTGCCGTGCCGGCCAGCCGCCGACAGTTACAGAACGCTACCACCGGCGCCGACTCAGACCAGAACGGACGCCTCAGGTCGGCCGCTGTCTGTAGAAGTCGTTCATAGGGCTGCATATCTCAAAGTCGACAGCGGCAGTCGAGACCGGGCGACGGACGGTCACTGTCAGTGCCCTCCGGTCACCGCGGCGGCTGGCCTAACCATCCGTGCCGCTGCCGCCGGCTGCAGACTCCAGTAACGCTGCCGCGGGTCTGTGACTAAACACGAAACACGCGTCGTCGCAGCCTGGGTGGGGCATCGTCCAGTACACGGATGGATCAATCGTAGTCCGTAGACCTGGCGACAACCAGCAGCCCTCGCACGTTCCGGCGGGCCGACGGCGAAGAAGGCAAAGTCCAGCGGCATACTAGGCCACGTTCCACGCGGTGGTCGGTTTGGCGGTGGCCCATGCAACGGCAGAGTTGTCAACGTTTTTTTTTTTGCAGATATCAGTGTGACCATGCAGCGGGTGTCCGCGGAAACGGATGAGCGGCAGCGAGCGTGGCTCGTGCTCAGCACAGTATGTCGGTCGAGAAAAGACCACAGCCTGCTGCTGCCCTGCTGGTATGTAGAGATAGACAGGCCATCCCAACGGGATTGGCTTGTGGTCGCGCGCTGTGCGATCCTGGCTCATGGGCTATGGCAACTGAGATACCTAACATCGCGCATAGGTACTGAACTGTCAAAACGACTATCTATTTTTAAGCATCATTAATCATACCTACGTTCCATAAATATGCTACAGACCCGTTCAGTACCGGTCGGCAGAGGCCACATAAGACCAGAGGCCTGCCGAGCGATGCAGGCTATGGCAGCTATTCAGCTTTGCCGAGTGCCGACGCCCTAAATATCGACCTTGGAAAAATAAATAACGATCAGGAACAATGAATGTGAGTAGCTTCATAGGCGGCGGAACGGGGAGGGCACCGCGATACCGTGCCCCCTTGATTTTGGCATTTTAACATTAGCCCTATGGGCGTTGCATGGAAAGAATGGGACCAAAAGTCGGCAGTGCCCCCCCCCCCCCCTTAATTGAAGGTGTTCCGTCGCTACTGAGTAGCTTGTCCTTTGTCGTTCATAACCCAAAGGCCAAATCTATGTCAGCTCCAGTATCTCGATTCGAACAGTTCCCTCAGCTCTTGAGTTGAAGGTGGCCGAGAGCCCGGTTTGAAACCTGCAGCGCCCACTTTTTGCTCCTGGCGGGCATGACCCGCGGTCAGTGACAGTGGTCGCAGGTGAAATCTACGAGTGAGGCGGTCGGGGGACTGCTCCGTTCCGTGTGCTTCGTTAAGCATTCAACATGGACATTGAACACACTTTTTTCTGATCAGGTGTCCGGCAGCGGAGACTAGAATCCATCCAGCAAACCCTGCTATGCATTGGTTCCGAATACGATTAGGAAATTCCTCCATTCAGGGCGCTACTGTTTGATTTCCGAAACAAACTAAAACAGCTTTTGTAAGACACGACCCAGGGACCCAAGGGCCACGCCTGATCACAGTCAGGTCATCGAGCTGCAACGTCGCAGCTCGATGACATTTTCACATTTTCTTTGCTTTATTCAACCGTTTCAGTGTTTGATTAACCCGCGCCCTGCTGGCGGGGGGGGGGGGGGTGTTTGAGCACCCCTTATGTTTTTTCGCGAATATCGCAAAAACGGCGGCGGGAAGCGCCGCCGTTTTTGGTACACATTATAATACATCTTTTCTACATATGTTGTGAAAATTTCAGACCCAGGTCACTAAAGGTCAGGTCACTAGGTCAGGTCAAAAGACCTCACTGCATACAAAGTTTCAATGTCTGCCAAAGCTACACCGAGTGATCGACCGCTTCGAAACTTTCAGAGATTGATAAGAGCAGAAATATGTACAAAATGTAGATCTGGGAATTTTGATATCGATGAGCTAAGGTCAGGTCAATTTTGCAACCTTCCCATTATAATCAGTCAATGGGAGAAAACTGAAAGTCGCCTTTTTTAGACTGAAGTCATTATAAACACTCTAAAATGCTGAATTACTAGTATCTTAGACACACTGAACATGAAAATGGCACCCGTGACCCCTTTTATGCCCCTGAGGTCATCTCAGGTCACCAATGGTATCTGACCTTAGTTGGTTAACACCTTAGTTGTGTTTGGCTCGAAGATACGGATCGACTGATATGCAACCTGACCCTTACCGGTCAGTTCATGACCTTGACCCGAGGTCAAATTTTCAAATTGACCTTCAAGGTCAAGTGATAGTTCATTCGACGCATCTTGACGAGAGGAACACGATGATGGTAAAAGGAAGTTCGTGCAAGGTTTGAGTCAAAAGAAATTGCAGAAAAACGGTTTCCGAAAAAAAATCGGTTATTTTGGCAGTGTTTGCCCCCTGCAGGCAAAACCGTTGACGGTAGGTCAAATATGAGAGAATTACTCAGAAAGAGCGTGAATAGGGCTATCAAATGCGCTATTCCGCGGCGCTATAGCTTTATTAGTTTCCGAGCTGTGCGCCGATTTGCTGAAAATTGCTGTAGAGGACCAGTCGGCCTTCTCTCAGCCGTTTGAGCCCTGATCGAGGTAGTGCTTCGCAGAAAAAGCAGGCATATTGCTCGTGACCAGAGGAAGCCAAAGGTACCCAATTTTAAGGTATTTGTTCATCTGCCAACTTTCAAGGTGAGGTCAATGCCTTTAATTTTGGAATATCGGGATTTACTTAAAACTTCTTGAAGTGAACCGCCTCTGTGGTATTTTGAGGTCCTGATTTTGAATTTCACACAAGTTTTTTTTTTTGAAAATGATGTGTTTTTGGATTTGAGATAGGCGTGGTCAATTCAGCTCAGCCATCATGTGTCTTGACAGATGTTCTTGGTCAGTGTTTACCACAAAATATGATGTCTCTGCCACATTTTATGTAGGTTCGTTATCAACTCCTAAAGCTACCCTAATAGTAGGTTATAAAACTTAAAGTCAACCAAGGTCAATAACCAAGTAAGTCTATCCAACCCCTTGTCTGGATGTAGGTGTGAGGGTTAAGTTACCTTCAAAAACTTTGCTGGCTGGCTGACTTTGAGTGCGTCTCTTCATCTTGCTGAAAACTCTTCAATGTTGCCAAGCTTGCATTGCTAAGATGCTCAATTTTGTTGTGCTTGTGCATGGCATACAAGATTCAACTTTAAACACTTTCTGTCAGGCCTGCAAACCACTGAATCTGACATCCATTTCAACTTGTCAGGCATGCAACTGCAGACCCATGAAACCAGTAGGTAGCACCTCAGCCATACATTTGTCACACTTAACCGACGAGCCGCGGGGGGGGGGGGCATAAAGTTGCCCCCCCATTACGTTTTGTGGAATATCTCCGAAACCTGAGGAGCTACAAACGTGAAACGTGGCATAGCTTCAACTGAATACCTAGGCAATGTTTGAGGAAAGTTTGGTGGTTGTAGCACTTAAGATGACGTCACAGTAACGTCAGAAAGTTTTGTCGTTTTCCGATACGGACTGTTTCTGATGTCGCTGAGCATGAAACTTACTGCAAATGAACCAGACAGCACCTGCTGTCATCCTAAAACATCTAAGTACACTTCCAACTAGTTCCTGACGAATAATCGGTCCTTTATATTTGGTCTCATATGTCAGATATATCATGAGGAAACTGAGAGTCGCAAATCTATAATTTGACTTATGATGTCACTGTGACATCATTTCAAATGGGATTGACACCAAATTTGGACACAACTTCAGCTAGGTATTCAGGAAGATGTGTGCAAAGTTTCACTTCTCTATCTCCTCAAGTTGCGACGATATCGTCGCAGAAGTGAAGGGGGAGCAACTATATGCTCCCCACAGCGGCCGGCGGGTGGCGCGGAGGCCCAGCGGCCACCCTGCCCTGCCCCATCCAAGCATGCACTTTTTTGCGAACAGCCATTCATACTGTTTGGCTGCATTGGCAGCATCATTTATTGACAATATTTCATAAGTAGTTAAAACTTGAGACCTTAAATTGCTAATTGCCACCTCAACCTGACCAAATATTAATTAATACAGATTACAGAAATGTAGGTATGCAGATCAAAATACAAGACCAATCCAAGGTATATAAAAACACTGGACCAATCGGTAGTCATAAAGCAGGCGTCACACTTCCGTGTTCACGGCCGGAGGTCCGGTGACGGGCTGTGGCCTTGAGACGGCCGCCGGTTTATTACGTCACAAACGTACTATCGATGCAGAGTTTTCTATCGATGTGAGAGCTTTGATTTGCGGACTCGCTTCGAATCCGAAGGTCACCGGTTCGAATCCCAGTTCCCACCATGCCGTTCGATCAGCGGCCGACAGTCGCGAACTTTTTTGGGTGTGTGCGTGTTTTTTGTGTGTAGAGGGCTGGGATCGGCAGTGCCAGTGTTGAGGGTGCTAGAGCTAACTGACTTGACCCCAATGCAGAGATCCTGGGTTCGAATCCCACCACGGCGTTACCTAAGCGGCCACTTTATCGTAGGTACTTTTTTAGTTTTATAGGATTGGGATCGGCAGTGCTGAGGGTGCTAGAGCTTACTGACTCGACTCCAATGCAGAGGTCCCGGGTTCGAATCCCACCATGGCGTTGCCACAGCGGCCACTTTATCGTACTTTTTAAGTTTTAGAGGGCTGGGATCGGCAGTGCTGAGGAGGGTGCTAGAGCTCACTGACTCGACTCCAATGCAGAGGTCCTGGGTTCGAGTCCCACCACGGCGTTACCGAAGCGGCCACTTTATCGTACTTCTTTAGTTTTATAGGATTGGGATCGGCAGTGCTGAGGGTGCTAGAGCTCACTGACTCGACTTCAATGCAGAGGTCCTGGGTTCGAATCCCGCCATGGCGTTGGCTCAGCAGCTGACTTTAGCGTTCTCTTTCTAGTACGATAAAGTGGCCGCTGAGGCAACGCCATGGTGGGATTCGAACCCGGGACCTCTGCATTGGAGTCGAGTCAGTAAGCTCTAGCACCCTCAGCACTGCCGATCCCAATCCTATAAAACTAAAAAAGTGCCTAGGATAAAGTGGCCGCTTAGGTAACGCCGTGGTGGGATTCGAACCCAGGATCTCTGCATTGGGGTCGAGTCAGTGAGCTCTAGCACCCTCAACACTGCCGATCCCAGCCCTCTACACCAAAAAAAAAAAAACAAACACGCATACATCCAAAAAAGTTCGCGACTGTCAGCCGCTGATCGAACGGCATGGTGGGATTCGAACCGGTGACCTTCGGATTCGAAGCGAGTCCGCTGCTGTGACCAAGTTTTTTTTTATCCTTTCCTCTCCCTGCGTCCGCTGTGCGCTGGTCATTTTCATCTCCCCGCTCCGTAAATCAAAGCTCTCACATCGATAGAAAACTCTGCATCGATAGTACGTTTGTGACGTAATAAACCGGCGGCCGTCTCAAGGCCACAGCCCGTCACCGGACCTCCGGCCGTTAAAGGAAATAGTTCACTTTCACGAAATTATTTTTTTTGCAATGGATTTATGATTTTTTATGTTCAAAATGATCAGCAAAGAAAATAAAACCTATTTATAACAAAAGATTATTTTCTATATTTTGATATAAGAAGAACTTTTCAGTTTCTGTAAGGCACAGGCGATCCAGTATGAAAAGAGCATGGGTTCCGAAAATTCTTCAGAAACTAGAGAAATTATCGCGGCCACCGGCATTTGGGCGATCTGCTGCTGCTGAATGTCCTTATTGATCAGTACGAGAATTTCTCTAGAGTTCTCGTAGATAATTTCTCTAGTTTCTGAAGAATTTTCGGTACCCATGCTCTTTTCATACTGGATTGGAATATATGCAAGGCACACATCCTCAACGCAAGACACCTTTTTCGGGACGAGAAATAGAATATCTTTGCCTAGGGTGATCGTTGGGCTGTAAAAGCTCCTGATTTATGCTCGTCTCAGCCCAGGCTACGGAACTGCTATTCCAGTTCAAAACCCATGTTAAAAAGTGAACTATTTCCTTTAACACGGAAGTGTGACGCCTGCTTTATGACTACCGACCAATCTACGAGACAGACAGGTCACAGAACCGGATCCAAATTTGTTATTGATGTCATTTTTCTTCACCAAATTTCATAAAAAAACTGATCTTCCTACCTACAATCTATATTTTGACACTTCTAAGTTCTATGCCAATTTGCCAAACCCATGGAATAAGAAGCGATCATTTTCACTTTTGAGTCAACAATGAAATGATTTAATAAGTAACTAAATAGTTACCTTTATGAAAATGACTCCCAAGGCGAATGACCAAAGTATCTATCAAAATACCAATTTTATTTCAATAAAAGATAAGTTGAATACCAATGCTTATGCATTTTCAAAGTATATTTGATATTTCGTCAAATGTGTTGAAAACTTTTGTCTCATCTGCGCCACTAATGAACTAGGACAGTTTGGTAAAATTGAAGACTTGATGACGTCATAGAAAATAAGAAATATCACAAATGGAAACGAAGAAGATCGAAAATTACCCAATTATGATCCAAAATGAGGCATACTTGATACGTCATTTAAAATCTTTGGGTTCAACTGGGTGTGTTGATATATGGGTTTCTTGAGCCACAAAAATGCAAACTGGCTTTGAAAGGGGCGGACAAAAAATTTGATTGAAATTTGCTGTCGTTGGTGGTCGTTGGTATGGTTTTTTATTCAGTCCCGTCATATTGTTAGTATCACGGTATGTAGAGAACTTTTAAGGAGTTGTTATCAGACAGCCTGGTGCATACCGCATGGATCCGAGTGCATGGATCTGACTGGATCTCGGAGCAAACTGCGGGCTAGGACACCGGATCCGGCGTGAAAATGTATCTTAGATCTATGGATCTATCTCATAGGATTGGGATCTGACGGTAAACCAAGAACTTGGAATGGATCTTTGATCTGAGTGGATCCCACCAGTCCACCACGCAAAACATTTGGAACCAGGTTTACAAGTGTTTCTAAGCCAATAAAAGTCAAAACTATGGATTTTGACGTGCAATCACATACAATCACTAAACAGGATTTTGTGAGCTGCAACGTGATTTTTTTTGGGATTTCTGTGTTGGTAAAAAACAAGTGAGGATCTGTCTCAATAGATTCTAAGCAAAAAAATTAGACTTAGATCTATGAACCCCAAGGAATAAGGATCTCTTGACAAATCAAAGAGCTGGATCTATGATCCCCTCGGATCTGAGATCAGGATCCGTGGACCATGGGATCAAATCCCAGAGCCATTTTCTCAGATCCATGCGCATGTCTGGTTGTAATAAGCTTTATTTGTAAAATTGGCCTAGTTTACATCATGCCTTACCTTGGCCTTAACTCACACCAGCAATCACCAGAAAAATACCTTCCTATATCCATATCCCTGATGTTTGAAGTTGATTTCCTTATCCACATTATAAAAAACATTCCTGGGGTTAAAGAATCCCTTACTTCTCACACTTATAACTAAGGTACCTATAAGGGGAAGTGGTTTAAAGGGAACATTCATTTTTCCTGAATAGCTTGCATTTAAAGTCAGTGATAACTAATATGCTTTCAGACTTCAGTACCTGCCGTTAAACCACAGGCATTTTAGACTTCCATGGAAACTCATGACACTGACCTTAGACTTTGATTATCTTTGACTTGTGCATTGTGATTCCTCTCACGAGACCATGTCGGGCAAGAATGGTCAGCCAGTGCTGATCCTTACTCTGATTTACAGTTGACTCGGTGACTGTGCCAGCCAGCCGGCGGTAGCGGGGGCGGCCCGGCGATGCGGCCTTCGTCTGCCTCGCTGCCGGCCCTGCTGTACACGGTGCTGGTGCTGTCACTTGGCCTGTACGTGTTCCTGAGCGGCTTCCTGCTGCGGCGGAATGCCTTCTCCGACCGGGCGCGCCGCTGCGAGTCGGCCGGCAGTGACGGCGCCGACCCATGCGCCGTGCCGGCCACCTACCGGCGCTCGGTGCTGCTGATCGTTGACGCCCTGCGGCACGACTTCCTCGTGTACAACGAGTCGCTGCCGGCGGCCGCCGCGGCTCCGCACCAGAACAAGATGCCGCACGTGCACGCGCTGCTGACAGAGCGGCCCAACCACACGGCGCGCTATCGGTTTGTGGCGGATGCGCCGACCACCACCATGCAGCGGCTGAAGGGGCTCACCACCGGCTCCCTGCCCACTTTCGTCGACGTCGGCGACAACTTCGCCAGCTACGAGATCACCGAAGACACGTGGCTGTGGCAGGCGGGCGCCGCCGGCGGACGGGCCGTGTTCGCCGGCGACGATACCTGGATGCAACTGTTTCCGAGCGCGTTCGCGCGCGCGGCGCCGTTTCCCTCATTCGACATAAGTGATCTGGATACAGTGGACCGTGGCGTGGAGCGTGAGCTGGCGCGCGAGCTGCCGCGTCGCGACTGGACGCTGCTGATCGGTCACATGCTGGGCGTGGACCACTGCGGTCATACGTTCGGACCGGACCACCCGCAGATGGCCAGGAAGCTGGCTGAGGTGGACCTGTTGGTACGGAACATCACCCACCAGCTGGACAACGACACCATCCTGTTCGTGCTCGGCGACCACGGCATGACGCGTACCGGAGACCACGGTGGTGATAGTGCCGCGGAGGTGGACGCCGGTCTCCTGGTGGTCTCTGGCCGCCCGCTGCCGGCTGCCGCCGCCGCCCGGCCCGACGCCATCCCGCAGGTGGACCTGGTGCCCACACTGTCGGCGCTGCTCGGCCTGCCAATTCCCTTCTCCAACCTGGGCACGGTGCGCGCGGAGCTGCTGCCGGCAGCACTGCGCGCGCCGGCGCTGGCGGCCAACGTCCGTCAAGTGGACGCCTACCTGCGCCGCCTGGAGTGGCCGCAGCCGCCGGCGGCTCCGGATGCCGCCGCGCCGCCGCCGGTCGCCGAGCAGTTCCTGGCCGAGGCGCGGCGCCGCTGCGCCCAGGTATGGGCTACATTCGACACTGGGCTGATGGCGGCTGGCGTGGTGCTGTTGGCGCTGGCGGCGCTGCTGGCTGCTGCTCTGGCGCTGCTGGCGCCCGCGCTGCCGGCCGAGACAGTGCTGAGCGCCCAGCGCGGCGTGCTGCTGGTCACGCCGCTGCTGGCGGCGCCGGTGCTGGCCGTCGGCTGGCAGCTGGAGGCGGCGGCGCCGGTGCTGGCGCTGCTGCTGGCCGCCGCCGCCGTCACGGCCACGGTCGGCGTGTGCGCGCTGCGTCTGCGCAGTGCGGTGGTGGCGCTGGTCGGACGGCGCGGGTGGCCACGGCCAGGCCCGCGCGGCGTGGTCGCATCCCTGCTGCTGTTGGTACACGGGGCCAGTTTCTTCTCCAACAGCTTCACCGTCAGCGAGGACCGCGTGACGGCCTTTGTGACGGTGACGGCTCTGTTGGCGCACCTGCTGCCGGTGGCCGGCGGTGTGCGCGTGGCGCGCTCACTGCCGCAGCTGGTGGCGGCGTTCAGCAGTGGTCTGCTGGTGCGGCTCGGCTGGCTCGGGTTCGCCTGTCGCGAGGAGCAGTGGTGGTGCGAGCCGGGCCTGGTGCACCGGCCGCTGGCCAGTCTCCAGGACAACAGCTACCGGAACGGACGCCTGTCGATGGCGGCCGCCAGCCTGCTGCTCGTGCTGCTGGCGCACCGGGCGTTCCTGCGCCACTGCGGCAACCTGAACGGTTTCTCTGTGACGGAGCTGGTGGCGCGCTGGTGCGGCTGGCTGTCGGCCGCCGGCCTGCTCGGCTGCTGGGCGCTGCAGGCCATCGAGCCGGCGGCTGTGGCGCTGCTGGCGCCCGCCCAGCGCCGGCTGCCGGTGCTGCTGGCGCTGGGCGCCGCCGGCCTGGCGCTGACTGTGCTGGTGGCGCGGCCGCTGCTGGTGTACGTGCGGCCCGAGCTGGCCGGACAGCGGCTGGTGACGCGCGTGTTCCACCGGCTGCGGCACCAGCTGAGCGGCGCTCCCGGCGAGCTGCGCGTGTTCGGGCTGGGCTCGGCGGTCAGCGCGGCGCTGCTGACGGCCCTGCTGGCCGGCTGGCTGCCGCTGGTGCTGCTGCTGGGCGACGGGCGCACGCCGGCCGCCGCGCTGGGGCTGGCGCTCACCGCGCTGGCAGCTGTGCTGGTCGGCGCTGATGGAGTCACAGGTGAGATATTAGCTACGTTACCATGGCACAAGCTAAGCCGATTTTGAAAAATGGATTTTCTCTATCATAGCATTTAGGCATAATTAAAAAACGTAAATATAGGATTAGGTGCTAGCTAAAATAATATCTAGGTTTATTTTTTGGATAAGGTAAATAGTTTCCGAGAAAAACGCACGTGAAATTTCGCTAAATCAATTTAGACGTGTCATGGAAACGTGGTGATTGACGAGGATATTACCGAACATCTCCTAACGGCAGCTGCCATCAGCAGCAGCTGTTGTCTTGGAAATAATCGCCTGGTACCTATTTCTTGGGCGTCATTCAGTAACGACCTTTGAAGTTCGGGTGCCCTAAAATACCAATCGTTATCACCAGGGCTGCGGAGTCGGAGTCGGAGTCGGAGTCGGAGTCGGTCGGAGTCGACAGTTGTGACCGGAGTCGGAATCGGAGTCGGAGTCGATTTTAGAAACCCGAGCCGGAGTCGGAGTCGGAGTCACCGAAAATCTGTCGACTCCGCAGCCCTGCTAGGTCTGCGGAGTCGGAGTCGGGAGTTGGAGTCGGTCGGAGTCGACAATTCTGCCCGGAGTCGGAGTCGGAGTCGGAGCTGGTTTTTGAAAGCCGGAGTCGGAGTCGGGGTCGGAGTCGCCGAAAATCCATCGACTCCGCAGCCCTGGTTATCACCTTACATTCTGAAGGTTTGCTCGACTGTATGATCGCTCACGCTCCATGGAACGTGACCTTTTCGAATGTTTGATCGCTATTCGCTGCCCGCTGCTGGCAGTGAATTGTGTTGCATGTTTTCCACCATGCATCACTGATGAAAAGATGTAAGCGCTATTAATGGCGCATTGTTGTGGAAAAGCTATTTCGCGATCGTTAATTCCTTGTGGATATCATCTTAATGGTTAATGTATTAAACCATCAACTGTAATGGATTCTTGTCACGATATGGCTCATTGTGCCTTCGTTCGACTTATTTTTCATCATTCCTGGGTAAACACACATCACAAGGATGTGTATTGTGTACTTCATCATATGTATATCTTGTTTGTATTTGTTGGGCAATGGACACGCCCTATCAGCTCGACCAGTCAATACTTCTCATGTGCTCAGTTTTTTGTCTTTGCTTCAGCTACACTTTCTTTACATCACATCATTCGTCATGTTACCTCCCCGTAATGTTGAGTCCCGTCACGCTCACCCTCCCTCCCGTTCCCGTTTTCAGCCGGCGGCGACTGGTCGGCAGCGGTCTTGTGGGCTGAGCTCGCGTCGTTCCAGTTCTTCGCCACCGGCCACCAGGCGACGTTTCCGTCCATTCAGTGGGACGCCGCCGTGACAGGACTGCAGATGGCGCCGGAGGGCACCCTGCTGCCCGGTCTGTGTGTGCTCCTCTCCACGTTCGCTGGAGAACTGGTGGCCGCTGTTACCCTGCCGCTGGTGCTCTGTGCGCCGCACCTGTTCAAGGTAGGTGCCGGGTGAGGGCCGGCTGGGGATAATGATTTTTGGATGACTGCTGAGATTGTGCTGGGCGGAGGGTGGTTAGGTGGCTGGTAAGATTTCGGGTGCTGGAATGAAGAAAATTATAAACCTAAGACGTGCGAGTTTCTCGTCATATCGCGTGCTAGAACGTGTATGTGCGAGAACGTCCGAGAACTATTTTTCCTGCGTTGTGTTACAAGGCTATGCCACCCAAGATTTGCTTTTTTGACCTAATTAGAAGCAAACACCCGTTTCTGGCTGTTGACTGTCGTGTGTGAAACTGTGAAGGGCCCTCTGCGGAGACCCGCCGGCACGCAGCGTCGTGTGCGTAGCTGTTTGTGGGCCGCCGGCTGTCCCGTGCTGCGTGACGGTGGTGAGTCACGCCTGTCCCGTGCCGCCAGGTGTTGACGGAGCGGGCGACCGGCTCGCGCGGCGAGCTCGCCCTGCTGCTCGATCCGGACACCACCATGCAGCGACTGCTCTCGCTCAATATGCTCTACATGGTGGCCAAGGCGGTGAAGGTAGGTGGAGGCTCCCGGCGGCGGCCGGCGCAGACCTGGGTCTGATCCGGGTTGTAAGATTGTCTTGTCTTGGAACTCCATTTTAGCTTGCATTTCGTGGTTCCGGTAGCTCAACCTGAAAACCTGGATGGTTGTGGGAAATTAAAAATTAAGACAGACATGTTACTTGTCATTAGCAGAACATGGAATGATTGAAGGCAAAATATTGTTTCCGAGAAATTGATGATGTTTCACGTTTGATTTATTATTTTCAGTTGGTTTTCATCACACTCACGCCCCATTCCAAGTTGACATAGGTATTCGACACTGACCCGTACCTGCTGGGTCACGAGGGTTGCGTGATGTGACTCCTTTTATGACATCGCCTCCTTTCTCCGGGGACGGTCGGTGATTGGGCGATAACGCTGGAGATGAGGTTTTTGTTTGCGCTTTCTCGTTCATTGGGTTTTGTCACCCTTCCTTGTGTTCTTTTGGTGCAGGAGACTTATTATGTAGTCCCACATGCTTTCTCTTTCTCTGAAGCGACTTAGGGAAAGCATTACTGTGCCATACGAGGTGTGGTTTTATGGTCTTTCCAGTTGTTGGAAGGACTAAAATTGCGAATCATTTCCTCTGCCTTGGTTGTGATATCGACACAGGCCCATTATCACACAAAAAAGACATCCACTTCTTATTCAAGTAATTATGATACCGTGAAACATTTCCAATTCTTTTATAATTCAGTTCGGTTTCTTTTTAATGGCAAGAACTTTGTTCCGAACATAGCCTCACTATAAAGTCGTTAATTGGCCCCTGTGCTACCCAGTTATGAAGCCGTGTTTATTTTCAAAGTTTGTCCCAAGTTGCGGTCCGCGCTGGACTTCTAAGTGGCTGGTTTGTGTTCGTGGCGGTAGCGTGTCAGGCTTGGATCGAGGCCATTGATTGCCAGTCTGTTGGCAGCGGATGGCCCAGTTTATGGCCCCGGCTGTGTGGTGTTGGTCCTCACGGAAGGCGGATTCATATGCCTCTGGTGGGCGGATGAGCATATATCAGACCTGATGACAGCAGGCACTTGTGTGACACTACGAGCCACGCGCCCACACAGTAACAATAGCCATTTGTAGGCACTGCTGGCTTCAACATCGGCCGGGTCTCATTAAAGCGGCCGCTAAATATGTTGATTCCATGCATCATTTCGACCCTAGAAATTCACCATGCATTTATGCATGACCCAACATACTGTGCAATGCCATCCGTTACTGCGTATACTGTCGCTGTTGCACGGAATTGTGCTGCACGAAGAAATTAGCTGACAGCCACATGACATGTGCCGTTATTCTGCTAGCTTGTATTAATTGTAAAATATGTATTAGCTGTTTCGTTGAAGCCCTTTTTGTTCATTAATTATCATGGCGACATGTGCAGACCTTTTCTTATTTTATTATATCCAATCCAATACCTATTAGCCTAAACCATCACTGCACCAGATTCTTCTCCTGCTCCGCACTCTGGCCTCTGATGACTAATTGGACCCCCACCGAAGACTGATTCCCTAGCGCAGTGTGACAATCCGTCCCTATAATATCTCAGTATGGCAGACTGAGCGTCGCTTCTCCCTCCCAGTTCCCAGTGTGACAGTATGGCCCCGTCAGCCCCGAGTAACACTGCATCCCTAGCTCCCTATCAGTCCCAAATGTGGCGGTGCGTCCCCGTCAGCTTAGTGAGTCCCTGTCAGCCCCCCCCCCCTTCCCGGTTAATGAGGCCGGACCGGTGGCGTGCCGGCCGCCCATCACCATCCGTCGCTAATCCCTGATGGACCGCTGGCCGGCCGATGCCGCTGTGGTGTCATGGGCGGACCCTCGCCGCCTGTTGGGTCAGTCCGGTCGCCTCCCGGACCAGCTACCGTGGTCGCTGTCCCCAGTTGGTATGACCGCTCGGCTGTCATAGGTCACTGACATCCTCGGGATACTTTCAGTCACTGGCATCTTTGGGTGACTTTCAAGGTATCGTTGCTGGCCGTCGATGGAACTAATCCGTTATGACACGATGCTGATGTCCTTTCTCTTTCTTTTCAGCTGATCCTCTGCTGCCTGGCGGCGGCCATACTGCGCCGTCACCTGATGGTGTGGAAGATATTCGCGCCTAAAGTGCTGTTCGAGGGCGCCTCGTTTCTGGTAGCGGGTACCGGGGTGCTGCTCACGCACGCGTTTATGCTACGCGTGGTCCGCCACGCCGGCGGCTGGCTGGAACAGCTCGCCAGCAAGGAGATCTTGTAACGGAGGCGACCGCCGGTGGAGTGGGTACCGCAACTCGCCGGTAATGAGATCGTGTGACCGGAATTGTCTGCGTGGTAACTGTAGAAGCTCGCCAGAAAGTGGTCAGAAAGTGGAAAGTGGTCTTGCGAGTGGTCTCCAAGGAAGTGGTCTCCAAGGTGGAAAGTCTCATTAGACGACATGGCACTTGGCAGGTGTGAGAGATGTGGAGTTGGTTTGTCCTCGTCAGGCCAGAGTAACCGGGACGGATGGCGAATCGAGTGATCTAGCCTGATCCTGGTGTGATGAGGGAGGAGGCAGATCACTCGGCCGTATACGGTCTCAGCTACACGGGCTAGTACAGTTTTGTGGAGCACACCTCTGCCTTTCGACTTTCAGGAATGGGAGCTCAGATAATTGGCCAATGGTTGGAGCGGCGTTTAGGTAACGTGGGTTGCCTCCGATGGCGTCATCATTTGTTGGGAGTACGGCCAACTCTCAGGCCTCTGCCTGCTGGTTTGGTTTAGTAATTTGACCCTGTTTGCAGGCGTGGTATGCCGTGGCCATTTGACCCGTGTGCACTGCCCTACTGTGCACTATTGCCTAGTCTCCGACCGCAGATTTCAGGGGTGTTGTAGGGACAGAGACCCCAGATAGCGGTCACATGAGCTTCTCTTTGTCCGTGCAATATTGTATCGCTAACTCAGCGAGCTGGTCGTGAAGCTTGGAAGCAAATCAACGAGAGGGGTAACCCTTTGATTCACTCGCAGCTTAGCTTCTGAAAGGATCGGCGCTTAGAACCAATCGAGAGTGGAAAAGGTTACGAGATAATTTTGTCGCTCGTCGCGATTTGGCTCCCATTGTTAGTGGTCCCCGAGTGATAGCTGGCAATGGGCATGCTGCCGCGCTGCGTTGAAAAGTGTAATTGCACATTCACTTCATGAATGCTACGTCTTGTTACGTGCGTACGTGCGTAAACCCATTGCGAGACGTCACCCATGAGCTTGTGTCATATCAGTTTGCGTTTGCGCTGTTTGGTTTGTTTTGCGCCTGGTTCGTTGCACATTTCAGAAACGAGCCGCTCATCATATGTAGTGCAGGATTTGATTGTGCCATTGAGGCTATGTGTGGAGCTTGTGTTCTGCCGTTTCAGGTGCCATGTGAACACGATTGATGTATTCGATGAGAACCTTATGTTTGCTCAATACTTCTGCCCGAGATGGACTCAACTTTTGTTAACGTTAATTCATGTGAAATGATAAAGTTCGAGATCAGTTTGCCCCTGAACGCTTCATGGTCTTGTTCGTTGCACATGCTGGTCACTGATGCAGCATCTTTCCGTAGAGGCTATCTGTGTTCAAATCTAGATACATTCTAGCAGAAATATGAGCCCGTCTCTTGCCCCTAGCATTGCAGTGGAAAGGCTGTGCTCACTGCCCCAGTCTTCGCCATTACGGACTGAACGATAGTGGGACTGTCTAACGCAGATACTGCTCAATGTGTCTTAGCAGAAGGCAATACGATGTGAATAGGACGGCACTGACACATGATTCCTACCTTCAGCAAGGAATACGTGTCTGCCAGCCGTTCACATGCGAGTAATCTCTGTAGTTTGTGCACTCCCCAGGCGTTTGCGCCGGGGCCGTAGTGGCTGCTTAGAAGTGTGGATGCTATTGTTGCGTGTTATAGATGAATGGATGTTTTACACCGAATACACTTTTTAGTTACTCTATATCCGTGTGTTATTGTCTGGATAAACACGAACCAAACGCATCGCAAAACTTTCCTTGAAGGGTGTAAAAAATACATCTACATAGATACTATAAAGAATGCCTACCGTGGGGTGGACAGGGAGTCCGACGCTAAGTTTCACTGCAAACGATGCTCGATTTTCATGAGTTACTTTTCACCTAATACACGTAGGAAACCACTTTAACCCGCGCCCCAGTGGCGGTCTCAGCCAACTTCGCCCTAGTGGGGTGGGGGGGGGGGGGGGCATATGTTACCACCCACCTCTAACTCAAAAACTAAGAGGGCTAGAAAGACGCGGTAAAAGCAGTCGATAGCTCTCAATGCGTACGTTTAAAAGTATTTCGATCATTTTTCACCTTAGAGCAATATTGGGGTCACCAGAGGTCATCAAAGGTCAAAATTTGCCAATTGTCATTATATTTTTCAGAAAACATGCCGCTATCTCAGGAACTATGGTAGCTAGAAAAACGCATGGAAAAGCAATCGATAGATTTTGAACTCTTCTTTTGAAAAGGTCCTTATCAATATTGACCTCAGGTCAACGGTTTAGCCTCCAGAGGGCAAAAACTCCAAAAATAGCTGTTTTTACTAAAAGTGTTTTTCGACAATAACTTTCGACTACAAAAAGCCACGACATTTCTATTGCCAGAATCGTGTTCCCCTCGCCGAGACGCGTCGAATGAACTATAATTTGACCTTGAAAGGTCAACTTGAAAATTTGACCTCAGGTCAAGGTCATGACCTTACCGGAAAAGGTCATGTTGCATATCAGTCGATGCGTCTCAACAAGACAAACACAATGAGACCATCCCCAGCGTTCTATCTCTTTCCAATCGCGAGTTATTGGCAAAAAAAAACTGTTTGTAGCCTCAAGTGACCTCGGATGACCTGTCTAGAGGCTATCAGCAAAAATGACACCTTGTTCATCAAGAGTGGACTAAATCATTGTGATTCTGAAATATTTGGACTGTTCCGATGCGTACACACTGATCTAGAGGCATTTTCATTTTTCTCCATTGACTTGTAATGGAAAGGTCACGCCACTGACCTGACCTTAGGTCACGGATATAAAAAATCCGAGATATACAAATTGTAGGCGCCCATAACAGCATACAAACCACCAAGTTTAAAACCATTCTGACAAACACTGCAGGCTGGACATGATTGCAAACTTTTTTTAGGTTTGGTCAGTTAACTTGACCTGGTGACCCGACCTGACATGACCTGGGGTCAAAAATTTTACACATTGTCCAAAATTGATGTACCAAAGGCTACCCCAAGCGGCGCGGCGCTACGCGCCGCGGTTTTTTATTTACACGCAAAAAAACGCGACAGGGTGGTAACATATGCCCCCCCCCACTGGGGCGAAGGTTAAGTCATCGATCGAAGTCCAATGAGTGAACGGAAAGCATCATGACAGCACGTATAGCATTGACAAGTACCGTGACGGCGGTGCAATCACAACACAGAGGCGAAGGAGCTCTGCCTTCTCTGGAACTCTGCTTCTCGTAGCGGCAAGGGTCCTTCAAAGTCTCGAAATCGAAATTTTAAAAGCTCGAAATGTTAGATTCGTTCAGTCCTCACTCCTCTTGGCACACGGTTTGGCCAGTCAACAGTTGAACCAAATGACGGGCTGCTGCGCCGCCGTACAATGCTGTATTGCGGCGCAGTCTACCCAGTCAGGTGTCTATCTGTCCAACCAACTGCCGCGCTGCTGCGCCGCCGTACAAGGCTGTATTGCGGCGCAGTCTAGCCAGTCAGGTGTCTATCTTGCTGCGCTGCCCTGCATACAGTGCTGTAATACAGCGGGACAATCTAGCCGGTCAAGACTTGAGTATCACGCTGGCTCGAAGTCGACACCGTCTACATTTTTTATCGATGGTGCAAATGACTGTTAAATTGACTCTCATGTCCATCTCTCATCTGCATTACCGCTGGAGGAACACACGGTGATAAAATGACGTAGATGTAGGTGTAATGAAACTAAAAATTATTTTAAGAATTTACAGTCCTCATACATTGGATATGATTCGGCACTTCCTATAGCAGCCACCGACATACAAATACGGATTGTCCGGCGCTCGGCGCTGGCCGGCGACCTTGCTCGCTGAATAAGTGATGTCCGTTCCAGGCGGGCATTGTGCGGCGTGGCGGCGCGAACGCTCTGTGTTTGCCAGTTGCCACGGTGCCGTGCGATCATCACAGGGTCGTCGGTGTCGTCCTCGTCGTCGGCGGCGGCGGCGGCGGCGGCGGTGTCGGGCGCGGCGTAGGGCCAGTGTTGTCCAAGCCGCCGGCGGTGAGGGTGGCGGAGTGCCGTCGGACCGAACTGATGACCTGAGACGCTCCACGACCGTGTCAGCCATGGTGGCTCAGGCGCGCCGTGACCCGGCCGGGGGCAAGGGGGGCGACTCAACCAGCTCCCAGCTCACGGTAGGTGTCCGGCTATATGGGGAAGCGGAGGACATTTAGGAAAGACGGTGTAATAACTCATGCCAACCACATATTTTTTTTTTCATTGGCAGCTCATCTTATGCGTATGTCCAAAGCAGTTGCTGAGTGCGATCCATTCAGTCAGAACTCAGAGCCTTGTTTTGAATTATGGGTGAAGTCTATTAGAAATAATTGGGAGTGTTCGGTATCGATAGGAGAGACCGGGGCAAACCGGTCACCCTAATCTTTATTTCTATGCCGACGCTTCATTTTCAAACTTGGAAAAATTTCATTTCTATCTATGTCATGATCCCTATTTTATTGCCTTTCATTTCACCTTCATCTCATTTCTAAAGGCGTTCACATATGGGAGATATTTGCAAAACTTTACACCCATGTATTTTGGCCACTTTGCCCCAACCCCCGGGGCAAAGTGGACACCGGCGATCTCTTTGTCCTGATATGAGAAACAGGATAGTTGCCTCATGTACGACTACATAGAGCTGTTTCAGCTGTTGATGATAACAAGGCTTAAACGAGGATGGATGTTTATTTTTTCACCTTCTCATCCGTAAATAAACAATGCAAGGACATTCATGGGAAAACAGTGCATTGCATTTTCAACAACTCATATAACCAAAAGGTGGTCGAAATAAATAATCGTAAAAATAGAAAGTAACCTGGCGAAAAAGACTTCTCCGTGTACTTCAGAAAAATGGCGACGGACCGGAAATGAAGATTACAAATCCGGGATCGGGATCCCGGTATCCCGACGGGATTAACTCCCGATCTCGATCCCGAATTTCGCCAATCCCGGGATCCCGAATAAATCAGTTTTTAACCCAAAAAGAGAATGCAGTCGCTGCACGAGTGACGTTTAAGCTGTGTACAATACTGCGTGATATAAAGCAAAGAAACTATTTAGCTGGCACCCCGTATCGGCCGACCACAATCGACAGTGTTGGTAGCTCCCGGGGATCACCCACAGCGGTTAACCCTCGCCCGTAAACGGCGATCTGCCACCTTCGCCCATGCAGGGGGGGGGGGGTTGGTGCGACCCCCCTTGGCGTTTGAAAACGGAGCGTCGTAGAGCTTAGCGGAAAAGACCAACGGATTGCTCTCGCCGAGATCTCGCGATTGGTGGTATATTTTTTGGTCCTAGGTCAACATTTGACCTACTTTTGACCGGTCAAAGGTCAAATTTTCGGAAAAATAGACTTTTTCAAATTTTCCGCGGCGATTGCGGCAAAACGGTGGGAGATATCGACTTGAAACTTTCACTATCGTGTTCCTTGATCAATTTTCTATCGTTTGGTATGTATTTCGTTTCCCTAGCTCTAAAAATGGCGCGTTGGGAGCGCCGGAAGTCGGCAAGGTCACAGTCGGCGGCAAAAATTCAAAAAATCAAAATTTAAATTTTTGAAATCTGATTGTATTTTTGGATTTGGGATGTCCATTTGCTCCCTATAGAAGCTAATATTGCTGCATATTCCCATTGAGGTGACAAGAATTAGCAAAATAGTGGTTCGGGCGCTTTTCAAAAATAGTACCGGACGCTGTTCCTCTTGTGACGTCATAGCTCCGTGACCTGACCTGACCCGGTCAAGTTTCTTATACCATATGATAGCCAATACTTGCCCCAACATGCATGGGAAGTTTCATCACGATCCATCAACCGATGTCCGTACCACCGGCAGGAAACCTCGGGCGTTGGCACTCAGTTTGTGAAAATCCGGCCGGAGGCTGTTCCCTTTGTGACGTCATAACTCCGTGACCTGACATGACCCGGTCAATTTTTTTTTATCAAAAGATGCGCAAGGTTTGCCCCATAAGGTACCCAAAATTTGGCGGCGCTGCGCGCCGCCGTTTTTGCACTATTTCCGAAAAACCTCAGGGGGGGGGTTGCACCAACCCCCCCTACATGGGCGAGGGTTAAGCCGCTTAAATGCGTACGGTAAAGGGTCCTCGAACACCGAACGAATGCGGCATAAGCACTGCAGCATCTTCATCAGGGCCACGGATCGTCCAGCAATCCTGACTTGTCCGTGGCCGGAACAGAAGAGGTTAGTTAGCAAGACAGTCGTTGGCTCGTGTCACAGAAAGATGCTACAGATGTCACGCAAATGCCAAGTGCCGACAGAGCTTACTGATTCAGACGTTGGAGACGAGCAAAGTGGAGCTCTCCAAGTCAGTGACTTGGCTGCCCCTCAAAGCGACTTTGTAGTAAAGTCTAAGAAAAATTATTGATAAAAGCGGAACCGGAGGGAGGTGAAGTGACGAAGCGACGTCTTCAAAATATTGTTAAACAGGAGCCTCCAGACTTGGCGTACCTACACTGGTCGTAGGTTTTAGTTTTACAATATGACAAGCCAACAGCAATGGCTTAAAACGGTCGTGCCAGCTAGCGATAGAGCCAGAGCGGGTGTCAGAACCCGCCTCAATAACGAGACAGTAAGCGATCAACACATGCAGTTCTGTAAAGGCCAATTGGGAATAAATGCTATAAACTTTATACTTTAACTTTAACTTTAAATTTTATAGCCAACTGTAAACGTTTTCTTAACAAATTTAATCGTTTTAAAATGCAAAGGACATGGTTTAAGGATGGCTTTGGTTGTCTCTTTGTTCATGTTAGTCTTCTACTTAGACGCAAAATCTGTCAGTAGGAAATTATTCTTACCAGCGTTTTTGACAAGACCGGGATCCCCGGATCCCGAAATAACAACTTTCGGAATCCCAGGATTGGCAAAACGTTCCGGAATTGCAATCTCGTGCCGGAAAGCCAGGTGTTGCTCATTCGAACGACCGCGAAGAGAACTGTAATTGGCAAATGGTAACCAATAGCTGTAGTTGACACCAGCTGTAAAGGGTTTAAGTACGGGGTGACCACTTTGCCCCGGGTGACCGCTTTGCCCCAGTCTCCCCTACCTACCGTAAATAAGATACCCCTGAAATCACTTGACCTTAGATGTCACCGGTTGAGCTGTAGACCGATTGTAAATCCTCGTTATGGGGTCAACAGTAATTATTACACACCGTCTTCGGCAAGGAAAAAATTGATTATTGATTCAAAGCGGTCATGCAAGTGATTGTTTGGTATGGTGATATGTACTATAAGGTAACGGAATTTAATTTCGCCTCATTCATAAAAGAATAAGGATGATAAATCTGCTTGAAATGCAAAATTTTGAAAGGCACTTTCAACCTCAAGGGTCAGATTCTATTAAGCTTGTATAACTATTCTATTTTATAGTGCCTATTTGGCGCTTCATAAGGCCAAGTAACTGTATGCAAGGAATCGCAACGTGTTACGACTTTGTTCCACAAATACATACCTACAGGACCATAAATCAGACCACCATGCTGCTCAGACCACCTGTGAGTCACCGTTTCTTACTACAGCAGGTGTTGCAATCAATGGCATGAACCTTTCATACTCGCGTGACTATGAGGCATTCACTTTGGCATCATACACCAATGTTTAGGTACCTACAGTCTTTACCATTAAAATTTAAATTGCTTTGGTGAGCTGGTGTTGTGTACTTTTGAAGAAACGTACCTTTTTTCCTGTTACGTTTCTTCGAATGTCTGTAAATGAAACAATAACAGGTGAACTCTTCATCCACCTCTGTGGCCGTGCCCGCAGGTGGCGGTGCGGATCCGTCCTCTCATGAACAACGAGAAGGCACGGGGCCGCGTAGCCGAGGCTCTGGATGACAAGGTTGGTGGAACATCCCGTGACCTCATCTCAAACCGAGCTTTTCTCATAATGGATAGGTAAAATATATTTACGATCTACTTTACGGCTAAGGGTCGGAGCATTCAGCACCAATCAAAAGTGACAAAGAGCATGGACCCAGTAAGGCCTTTGTTGTATGTTCGACGTACTTACATACCTATATAGTTGATAACTTCCTGTTTGGGAAAAAGGTGAGACGTTCTTATTTCGTTTGAAAAAGGCGATTGTAGTTTTGCACCTTCAACAATGTTAACTTCTGAAGACTTGCAGATATCAAACCTTTTCCTCAGCAATCGCGAATCTACTGATGACTACACATATGAAAACGTGTCTATTGAGCTGCAATGCACGAAGTGAAATTGTTACGCTATATGTTTTGCTCATGTGCGGTAACCGATTTTCAGATGGTGACGTTGATGGACAACGATGGAGACAAAAACGATGTCCTTCGTCAAAAACGGCGACAGGAAAAACAGTTTGTGTACGACATCGCCTTCGGAGAGGACTCTAGCCAAGTTAGTAGGGTTTGGGTTCTTTCCTGCTCAAAAATGTTTTACATATTTCCATTTCATTATATTGACATACGTTTGTATGATACAAGCACTGTGCTGCAAATACGCGCATGCTACTTACAGTTCTGAGAGAGACGTTTTCACTGAAAGTTGTGATTGTTTTTAGTCAAATTCCCAAGGCAGAGTTCCAGTTTCAACGTACAAGCCATCCCGTTTTGTCGACCATTATGTATGCAGTAGCCTGCTGTGTCCATTGTGTGGCCTGCGAGGGCCGCCGAGGCCGCTGGGTCGATATACGGTTGCAGCTCGCACCGATCGACGTGCAACGTGCAGCGAGCTACGACACGGTCCACTGGCGCGTCCACACAGACCACCGACCCGTCCACACTCCACACAGACCACAGACCCGCCCACACGGGCAACCGATCCGTCCACACGGACCACAATGTCCACACAGACTACAGACCCGCCACACAGGTCACAGACCCGTCCACATACCACAGACCCGTCCGCACAGCACCGACCCGTCCACACTCTACACCGACCACAGACTTGTCCACACAGACTACAGTCCGCGTCCACACAAACCACCGACCCGTCCACATGGACCACTGACCCGTTCACATGGACCACCGAGCGCCGTCCGGCGTCCACACAAACCCAGCCACATTCAACACTACCACGGTCCACACTCACAGAGTCGTCCTCCATTATGCATCGCTCGCCTTGAACTGCAGCGTTGTTAGCGAGAATTCAATTGGAATATCCAGCATTGAACTACGTAATAGGCATCACGGCATCAGGCATCACGCAGACGTTTCGAAACGAATGCTGGTTCTAATTTCTAAATAGCGCTTTTTACCCTTGTTGCAAATTGCGGCACCTTTCTTTCACTTACTAAGAAGCGGGCGAAATAATAAAATTATGAGAAGTGTAATGACTAAGTTTCCATCATTACAGAAAGTGGTGTACGAGCGCACGACTCGGGACCTGGTACAGGACGTCCTGAAGGGGTACAACGCCACAGTGTTCGCCTACGGTCCTACAGGTGAGAAGCTATCAGTTAGGGGAAAGGCCATGAGTTCAGGGTAGCTACCGTGCATGGTGGTCAATAATCCGACGGGTTCACAGAGCAAAGTCAGTGGAGCTTGTGAAGGTCAAAAGACCACAGAGCGGAGATCGTGGATAGTCAAAGAAGGAGGGTGACCACGGGAGGCCGTAAAAATGGCTGCGTTATTTCTAGCCTGCACAGTGCACACCCACTGGATACAGTAGCATAAAGGCCTTTGAATACCGAGGTAAGAGGTATACCGGTGTACAGAGGCTTATGATCACAGTGATCTGTTTTCCTATCTCGCCAGGCGCTGGTAAAACGTTCACAATGGTGGGAACCGCTGAACAGCCCGGTATCATGGTCCGAGCGCTCAATGACCTCTTCAAGGTCATGGAGGAAAACAAGGAGGAGCAGGATTTCAAGGTGGGTGTCCAGTCGACACGTTCGGGTGCAGATGATTTCAATGTCATTAGTAAAAATAAATGATAAAATGTAAAGCTTAAAGTTAGACGAGCTCTTCACCAAGATTTTGATATGTTGATATGAATGCCACTGTTCAAAATTACCTACTTTTCGCTCTAATGAAAAAGTCAATTCCTAAGTGTGAACAAGTGAATAAATGTGAACGGCTAACACGGTATCGAAAAAGGAAATGGTTCTGTTGCTAAGCGCATGATCGGTGAACTGTTTCAGATGACGCTGAGTTATTTGGAGATTTATAATGAAAACATCCGCGACCTCCTGAAGCCCAGCACTGGAACTTTGGACCTCAGGGAGGACGCCAAGAGGGGCACCATTGACGTGGCAGGCCTCTCCGAGGTCACGACACAAAGTACAAAAGAGGTATGAGTACTGTACCGTGCATTTGCATTCCGAGTAGAAGATTCTAACTATTTCGTTCTAATGGTCGATGTTTATTGTTGACTCATATATGGCATATATCTGTCCTTGTGTTATTAACTCAAACATCGGATTGAAATTTTGTCCATTGCCTAACCCAACATTTCAGGTAATGGTATCAGATGATTTCAAATTTCACGTCTTGTGTAAATAATACAGGAAGGCTGGCAGCCGGTCCGTGCCGCCGGTAGGACTGATACTGCCGGTGTAGTAATGACGCTACTGCACAGGTACCGTAACAAAATGTGATGTTCCCGACTGCAGGTGATGCGGCTCCTGACCAAAGGGAACAAGGAGCGAACCATGGAGTCGACTGCCGCCAACAAAACCTCCTCCAGAAGTCGCCCTACTCATGGTAAGTACCATATTATAGAAGGTGGAATGAATGCCTAGGACGTCACACCACCCACCTGTATATTTATTTAAATGTTCCAGTACTTCAGTGTGTTCCACTGTGGCGCTGTAACCTTCCGGTATTACTATTTTACAAGTTTAAAAATAAACGATCGGAAATCTGTGCTATCATTGGGGCACTTCAACTGATGATGTTAATGATTAGGCAAAGCCAAAGTGACAGCTGACTAAATAAGACCATCATTCACAAAGTGCCTGAACCAGCTGAATTCAGTGCAACAGCCCATTCTTATCTGATAATGAAGGCCACAAATCGCCAACAAGTATATAACGTGACCACTCGTTACCACCTCATTAATTGTGGATTGTCGCCGGTCGTTTTATCGCCTGGCCGGTGGACAGTGCCGGCAGGCGCCGATCACGCGACGTATCGTCTCTCCATCGATTGGTCTTTGATCGACCGCGCGCGGCCACCAGGCGAACGACGACTGTATTGTTATGTATTGTATGGGTCTCTGATCAGGGCGCAACACTGTGGCACCATGACGCATCAACAGGGCAAGCAGCGGGGTGATTAGATCTCGGGGCCGTTGTGACCTTGAGGACTTGGACATCACTATCTATCGTGATGATGATTATATAAAAGAGGTCAAGGCTGACTATTTTTGTCGCAACGTCATTGTGCTCAACACATAGCCGTGATGTTTATGCATCTGTTATTGTACTTATCTGAAAAGTTGGTTATTGCTTATTACAAGCCAACTAGCGCTGAGACTCGTCTAATTAATCGCATGGATACGCATAAAGCTGTAAAAAAGCAAAATGTTGAGCAAATAGTGGCCTGTGAAGCGATTTCCTTGGCTGCTTTGGCTGTTTTTTAATCGTCAACAAATCCGAACTCTATACTTTCAGGTGAACGTGCGCCAGCAGTCGCGGGTGCGTGACATTCACGAGACGGTGAAGACGGGTCGGCTCTACATGATCGACCTGGCCGGCTCAGAGCGCGCCAAACGCACCAAGGTCAGTTGTGTCAATGGTTAACGGGTCAAAAAGCGCGCCAAGTGAACCAAGGTCAGCTGTGAGACGGCCTGGTTCGAGTCAAAAGCTGCTCCGAATACATCAAGGTTAGTGGTTCCGCTGCAGCGATACATGGGGCTCAGTCAGGGTCGTAAAACCAGTCGCGGGTCGATCGAACCGGCTACGGCGTTGCTTGCCAAAAAGATGCGGCACAGAGTCTACCAGTACCGCATTCAGTTCCCCGACAAACAAATATACACTTTTTCTTATCAGATGTAGCTAGATTGTCATGGTGGAGTTCAGCTACAACAATTGCATTATTGGAGCTCTCCTGTGTTATCGATGTTCAATATAAAGTGCGCCGCTTCGTAACATTGGGCAATGGGCACGTCTTGACCCCCGGATGTAGGTATATTCGCGTTTATTTAGTTTGTTTATTCATGCACGTGAGCATGCCTACTGAACGTGCATTTTGTCTGAAATTCAATCCCTGACACTTGTAATTTGCCATTATTAACTTTGAAATGACCACAACTCACTCACAAATCACGATTAAAATAACGTATTGAAACCACAAACAGGCCGCGTATTCAAAACACACCGGCCGTCTACAACCCGCGCCTAATTATAGTTCACAGGGGCCACGGCGCGTGCGGCGGGCACCCGCCGGGCCGGGCCCCGGTCAGGTCGATGGACAGGTGCCGTTCGGTGTGGTCACTCCAGTCGTCCGGGCAGCGCGCGGTCGATGCTATTTCTCAGGACAGTATGTACGGGAATGGACCGCGGGCACGCCCCGCCGTCGACTCGGGCTAATGTTTCGGCAGATGGTATCAGTTGCAGGCGGTTCCGTCTGCGGCTGGGACAGATCGATATGAAGACTGTTGCATGGAGATTGCCTTGACCGGCCCCGCCTATTCGTACTGGTAACACTTAGGCCTATTTTTTTTTAGGATGTGGTCACTTGAGTTTGGGGCTGACGATGCTCAATGGCTTGAGCTCGATAAAAAACATGCCCGACAGTATACGCCTATACAAACCACAGTAATTCTTTTTAGAACTCCCACTCTAAGTACAAACCAGTTCATACGTTCATTTTGATCTTTTGTCTTCAGAACCAAGGGAAGCGACTACAAGAAGGCGCCCACATCAACCGCTCTCTGCTGGCCCTTGGGAACTGTATAAACGCGCTGGCCGTCAAAGGAGCGAAATACGTCAACTACAGAGACTCCAAGCTCACCAGGTACTAACGATTATTTCGTCAAAATGCGCTATCACTGTTGTTTGATATGCACGATTCACGTACCATTAGTTGACAATAGATATAGCAACACTCACTGTTTCATTAGAGATAGCCACTAGCCAGTTCCCAGCAGTGTGCTCATCACCCTCGGTGTCCGCAGACTCCTGAAGGACGCCCTCTCGGGTAACTGTCGAACCGTCATGATCGCTCACATCAGTCCGGCGATGGCGCAGCGGGACGAGACCTTCAACACTCTGGTGTACGCCGACCGAGCCAAGAACATCACCAACAAGGTAGGTAACGAGCCGCTGCGACCGTAGCAGGCGCACCTAAATGACTCCGAAATGAAGAGCGACATATACGTTCATGCTCCATTTCTCTAAACGTTCTATGAAATGCACTACATACTTTACAATACGCACTATCTACGCACATATCGTACACCAGTCACAAGCCACCAGTCACATCAGCAAAGCGTGGAATCGCTTCACCCTCTTTATTTCTTTCACTGTCATGCTTGATATACGCGTCAATAACGTGCGTGACTTTCCTCGTGCGCCCTATGTCCTTCAAAAATCGTCCGTGTGCTTTTCGATCGTCACCGGCTCGCTTATCGGTTTCGGCACTGGCGAAGTGCCTCATCGACCGGGTTTGTGTGTACAGGTGAAGCGGAACGTCCTAGATGTCACCCACCAAGTCTCGCAATATCAGAACATTATTGCCGAGCTCAAGGACGAGATCGGACGACTCAAAACAAAAATCACCGACAAGGTAACTCAGAGTCTAAAAATTTACCGTATTGGCCGTAGTCAAATAGTTGTCTGTTTTACGATTTATTTCATTTACATTGTATAGAGCATACCTATGTAGAGATCACTAGAACAGTCAATATCAAGTGTAAACAGCTCCTCGGTTTTCTTTTTATACGATTTTTAACGAGCTAGGCTATCCGTATTTGTGTCACGGTAGAGCGTCGACCTCTGGACACATGTTTGATCTGTTAATCAGTACCTAATCATCATTACCTTCTTCCTTCTCTCTCTCTCTCTCTCTCTCTCTCTCTCTCTCTCTCTCTCTCTCTCTCTCTCTCTCTCCTCTCTCTCTCTCTCTCTCTCTCTCTCTCTCTCTCTCTCTCTCTCTCTCTCTCTCTTTCTTCCTATAACGTCTCTCAGGACGAGCAGCCGGAGACGCCGGATCCGACTTCACAGCCTCGCAGCCAAGAGCAGGAGGAGGAGCTTCGGGAGCTCCGCAAACAGCTCGTTAACCTCTTCAGAGAACAGATGGAGTTGAGGTAGGTCCAAGGTGCTTATTAGGTATGGTGGAATAGCATGGCAAATTGGTACACAATCCAATATTATCTAATCATTGACAGCAGCCATAAATGTTTCTGAGCCCACTTATCATCCTCCAGTTTTATTCCGCTTTTATGTTGCAAAAAATAGGTATCAAATAAATGCACAACCAATGCTTTATTCCTTTTTTTATAAAAAACCGAAATGCGTCCTTTTCGTTACTGATCTGCATAAATCCTGAACGTAAGTAAATTTATTGATTTCTGCATCCCACAGACACCAGGTGATCGAGATCGATAACGTATTGCTCTGGCTGGCCATGGAGTTTGAGAAGCAGACGGCACTCATCAACGAGTACGAACAGGAGCGGACCATTCGACGGCGACGACTGGAGAACGCCTCAGAAGCGTCAGACAGCCCAGGTGCGCAGTAAAACGAACGGAACAGGTGCTGATATCATTTATCCTGGTTTTCGTTTATGTTACAAACGGGCTAGGTTTTGGATGAACAAAACAGATTTTAGATTAGAGGAACCCTAGTGCGTGCTGCTTGTACGTATCACTTTTAAAATTATGCGTTACTTAAAATTGTTTTCATCGGAAATGTAACATTTCTTCACAAGCTTTTGCAACTACGATGGGAACAAATCACTCACCTGTACGACCGTTCAATTTTACATTAGTTCCTCCCCTGACGCAGACGGCGTGTTCGAGGATGAGGAGGAGGAGGAGGAACCTGAGGACATCGTTCAGGCCTGGGATGATCTGCGCTATATCCAGGAGGAGGAGCAGAGGTAGGAACTCCCAACTCAGGAACATGATAAGACAGCCCCGATAGTTATAGCGCTATAAACTTGAAGTCGGTTCTGGTTCAATTAACAGTGTCATAGTAGTATTGTTCCTGCAATGTCTTTTCATTATGAGCAATTGCAAAAGTTCTTGCTGACTCAACTTAAAAGTTTCCGCTCAATGTTTATGGTGTCAAACGTGTTTCATCGCATGGTGCACGGTAACGGTGTCAGCACAGCCATCATTTTCAGATACCATATGCGTAAGAACGCAGAAGCAGACCTCATCGACCTCAGAGAGAAGGCCAGTAAAATGGAAGAGGTAAGTCGACACTTCGGTGAGCACGGAAGCGGATTTGGCAGTTTTAATTAGTCAAAAGTTTAATAAAGCATCGGCATATTTTGCCTTGGCCTTTCCGTCACCTTTGTGAAGCCGTTTGCACTGCTCGTTTTCGGTGTTTTCAGTGGAGCCGTTTTCGCTGCTGGCTTTCCTACGATGAGCGCAGTGCCTGCCCCGGTGACCTACTTACCTCCCTTCCGTAATATAATGTGACCAAATGGCACACCCACGCCCATCCACTTAGCCTATGCGCCAGCGTTCACCCCAAGTCGTTAAGTCCCAGGTGTGCATCGACCTGCCCGTGTTACAACTAAAGCGCGATCATTGTATGACCCAGTGCGATTTATCAAAATAATGCAACTGTCTGACAAGACCACACTACACATTAGTTAATGCATAAACTCATTTTGCGGGTGTCCTTTTACAGGCTCTGCCGGACAAAACGTCAACGGACGAACAGAAGGAGCTGCTCGAACTGCTGCTGAAGACGCACGAGCTCGAAATAGAAAACGTGAGTGTGAACATGCCGCAGGTTTGAATCATGGTATAATACATATGCCACCAAGGCTCATATGATCAATGGTTTAGGTGATTTATAGTTATTCCATTCACATGTTGCACGCAAGTTTGCATGCAAGAAGTGCAGAATAAAGCTTCCAAGACTCGCTGAGCCTGATGACGGCGCGCTTTTTAGCTTTGATGGCTATGTCGGTTTAAGTTCTTCTATTGCAACATGAAAAGGGCATCTAAGCGTATAAATTTTAACGAATACACAAGTTTCAATTACTTGCATGCTTATTTGGATGAGCATGTATTGCAACATAACTACATGACAACGCGCACTGTTTATTGACCTCGGCAATGTGCAAAGTCGCGTCGCACACCCCAATGCGATATCGCATAATGCATTGCGATGAAAGCACTTCGAGACGCGTGCTTCTAATATTCATTTCACCAGGTCACATATACCAATTTGGACGGTAAAACGGCTCCTCTTAATTTGTTGGCTTTTGCCATCATCGATAATACACATACCTACAATTGTCAAACGCTTTTTAAACTGCAATTTCTTTGCTTGAAATTTGACTGTCACCAATTCAAACTCCTCACTATACTTGCTAAAAGCTTCAGAAGTTCTTCTCTGAAGCGGCCGAACCAAATAAACAATATCTGACGAGTGTGCAATAGCTGACAACTGCAAACAGCGCTACACTTAATGTCAATTGTGATGTGTTGCTACAGACCACGACATCCTCAATTTCAAAGGCTTGGCTGGCATTTCACCAGACTTCTCTGTAATGGCCTTTCTTGTTGTTCCAATTATGAAGCACGTCCGGCCCGGTCAAAGGCGCCTCCGGCTGTATTGACCCGTCCCCGGCCCACCTACGCCAGGGCCACTGCACGGGGACGGGACGGGCGATTCCAACAAATAGCCGCCCCAGTGCAGTCCGCTCGACACTGGCCACTGCCATGGTGACCTACGGCACACAAACACCATACACAACACACATTGTGGCTATCCGTCAACACATTTATGTTGGAAACACATCGGATCTGAATTCTTCACTGATATTCTTCTGACACCAGAATACAAGGGAGGTACACGATTAATTCTTTCAATTCGTTTTTTATAACGATTATGTCGATAACTGTTCATCGAATGGTTTTGGCAGCAATCGTCTTTAAAGAGATTGTGGTTTCCGACGTTAATGAACTGCTGTTAGAAGTGTCGTGACTCGTGACACTTTAACCACTTGTACCGTTTTGTCTCTTCTTGAGCTTTCCTTTCCTACAAAAGTTTGTTCGTACTGCCTTCCCAGATGGAGATGCGAAGTAATCAGCTGATCAAAGACCACGAGCTGCGGCGGCGAGATCTGATGATCCTGCGATATGATCGCCAGCGGACGCTTTGTGACGAGATCATCAGCCGGCAGAGACAGCTCATCGAAGGTAACACGAATCAGAGAGCCAGGGGAGCATGAGACGCATCAGCCGCTCCCACGCTGCATGTATAGGGATAGGAATAGGAAAGCTACCTCCATTGATCAACGGATATTGGCAGGCTAGCTCGTAATAGGGATAAAGATAGGAATGATCTTTGACTGATGTGAAATAGCGCTGGATTACTTTTAGGACCTTTCAGTAAAAGAAAAAGATTAACAAAAACCCGCCTGTCA